TGGAAAAGGAGGAGGTTTTCTCAAAATCAACGCCCGTAAACTTATAATCGATGGCATAGTGCTAGCGAATGGGGAACGCGCCAAGCAGAATTCTAATAATGGAGGCGGTAGCGGTGGTGGTGTCTCAATAAACTGCTTTGAAATCGATGGAAACGGGAGAGTGTATGCTTCAGGTGGCATGGGTAGTGGTAAAGGAGGAGGTGGTGGAGGAGGAAGGATTTCAGTAGCATTTGAGCATGGGTCATTCAATGGTGAGGCAAAAGCATATGGAGGAAAAACAGGTAACATACAGGAGGGAACCTTTTCCACCTTTTACAACCTGGCATATTTCCTTTGTGTGTACGTGTGTGTGTCTGTTTTTTTTTATAAATATGTCGGCAAGTTCCGCTATTACCGTTACCCCTATCACGTACGGTTTGTATTGAGCTTAATGAAATATTCGCCTCCCGAGGCTTACATCGTGTAATTTATACTCCTCCGTGAAATTACTTGATAAGCAATCAAGTTACACCATTTAATATCGATAATCTTTCCTTTCTCACTACATAACAATTGGAGGATAATAGCAACTTTTCAAACTTACTTTTTTTATTAACTTGAAGCATTAGTTTTTCACTTTTAAAATGCATGCAACACACCCATTTCACAATGTTGTCCGTCTGTCCTTTACTTCTAGCACTTCATCTTGTAGAGGGAAAACTTAGTATAGTGACATGCGCATTTTAATTCCGTTATTGTTGTCCCAAACAACTCGAATGTGATGAAAAGTCACCTCTGAGTTATACACGATTCTTTCTTCTGTACAGTTGTAAAATAATGTAACTAAGCTTAAGATATTACTACTTAAAGTTGGTTTATTTGTGATAATAAAAATGAGGTGAAAGTTACGGAAAAAAATAGGAATATCTTGGCCAGACTGACAACCAGTTTTTCGTTGCGGACAAGCAAGAGATCATTGGAGAGAGGTTTCTAAAATTTAGCAAACTCGTAGAGCATCTCACCCAAAGACCTCCTTGCAATCAGTTGCAATCAGCGGAGCAGTCTGGTCTCATATCGCATAAGGATTCCCGACCGCAAAATATCCATGAGATACACTGAAATGGCAATTACTTGTAAACATTATGAAAATGCTCTTGTGAATCTTGGCTGGTCTGACAACCAGGGCAACCACACTGGTTCACCGCGGCTAAGCGACTCATCAGAAACCTTTCTTATATTTAGCAAACTTGCTGAGCACCTCTGGCAACGTCCTGTTTTCAATCAGCAAGTCATCTCGCCTGATATCACAAAAGGATTCCCGCCCCACAAAATATTCACGAGGTACATTGTAATGACAGAAAAGGAAAGATGAACCTAGGAAAAACTGTCAAACGAGAACAATCTATCCTTTGGTCAAAGCAAGTGATTCATATCCCTATTCTTACCCCTATTCTTTCCATTGATTGTTTGCTTAGTATTAATTGATTTTGAATAACGACTCCATAACAGGTTTATTTATTGGCTTCGTCTCCTGTTTCTACGGAAATGGAACAATATTATCAGCTATTATACGTTAAAAGGTCCTGTCTCTTTTATGTTTTAAGAAGTTTAGGTTTAAAGGTAACCCTTACTTTTTCCTTTAAAATGAATATATGGAGCTAAACCCTGACTAAAACAGTGAACTACTGTGAATGCCAGAAAAAAATTGTTAGTAACCATTGAATGAGTGGTCACTCTGATTGATTGAAAACTCCCTCTCTTAGCAGATATTTCCCAAAAGCCTGTACTTCTTTGACTGTTACAAAGATTTGACCAAACATTTGATTTTTTAAAGCGAAACGTAATAAATTATGAAATGAAATGGCGGCGTCCCTTGATATTCTTCAACCCTTTTAAACCTATCACTATCAAGCCTGTTCCAAGATAAAATTAGCGACAATATCAGTTGAGACACTTTACCTTAACGGACCCTTCTCACGATTTGTCAACTTTAAAGAGAAAAAATGATAATCTTTCCCTTCCTCATCTCCCCCAAGCAAACTTGTGCCTCTATTTGAGATACCTGTAACACTTCGACTTTGAACGGAGAGGAGGGGGAGGGGGAGGGGTGCAGGTTTTTCTGTTCTCCAAAGTATCCTTTTTAAGGGCAGTATCTTAAGAATGAATGTATTCCCATTTCAGAATAAGCCTGATCGAACGCGCCCTAAGAAAAAGCGAAATTGTATCACAGTGTCATTGTGGGCTAGGCGTGAATCACTTCCTTTTTAATTTGTTTTCGATGATATCTGTAATGAAAAAGACCACAAGTTTGCAGAACCATTTTCGCCTAAAACAGTTCGTCATAGGCATCTAAAAATGAAAGGCTCTTTAATACTCCTGTGTATTGACCAGATGAGTGAACAGATCAGTTTTAGAATTTCTCAATCGGTAACCGTTTTTATGATAGGTACAACATGACTATTTTAACGTAGTTTTTGATATTTTCCGTCTTCTATTTTTTGTTTATCTTGTATGTTGACGAACCTTATATATTGTTCTATTTGTGTCATAAGCACGTATTCGGTCGTGTAGACTACAAACTGTATGTTCTCTTACTAAACACTTTACCTGTCGGTAGCTGTTTCTGGCTAACGCTTATCAATATTTGATGAGTTGATATGGGTAGAGATCTAATCCTGCGATACCTCCATAACTCGTACGACTTTAAAATGTTTCAATGCTGTCCCATCGATTGACAGCACACCCAGTTGTGTAATGTTGTCTGGCTATTCCGAACAATCCAGCTCCTAGTCTTGTGGCGAAAACGTAGTCACACGGGAATTTCATTAAAACAACTTACATAAAATGAATGAAATTTTCTCCAAATTATACTCAAATTTTTTCTTTCCGTGCGGCTGTCATAATCGAGGCCATAAACTAAGATATATTGCTGCTCAAGGTATTTCTAGTGATATTAAAGAATCGTGTCCTTGCAAAAACTGTCAAAACGTAGAGGAATTCTTCCTTAGGTCAGATTAAGTGATTCTCTCTCATAATAGCTTGAGGAAAAAGTTTTTGCCTGTAAATCACATCATTTATTAATTGTAAATGTTGACTGGGTTTAAAGATGCCGACGTTTTATTGTTTTCCAATAATGTATTGGCTTTTATTCCTGTTTCAACGGAAAGAGATCGATATCCTTTAAAAAGAAGCCAGGTTTTAAGTATACTACATTGCAATGTCCTTGAGATTGAGACTAAGATCAAGTTACCGCGATAGCCTTCTTTAAATAGCAATAATGATTCCAATTGGCCAACATTAATCACACCATTTTAGCCCCCTCGAGACCATTATGAGTTTTGGATATAGGCCTTCGTAGTATTCACATTTTAATCGTGACTGCTTAAGTCTGGTTGAGCCGAAAGAAATATTCCACATTCTGACTTTGGTCTAAGTGAAGGGAAATTAATTGATTATTAATTGATTAATTAATTGATTACTTTTAAAAATCATGATTCCAGATATAATATCCTCGTTCTTTACACCATCCTCTGCGCTAAACGTTTTACTGGATATTATCATTGTTAAGACCATTCACTCAGCAAATATTTTTTGCAAATAAAATATAAACCGTTTGTATGATGTGTACTCTTACCAGCGATAGCCAAGCCCAAAAAACGTGAACCAGGCTGCGAGATGGCGGCGGTTGTCTTTTACCGTGCTCCAACAGACGGTCTAGGACTGCGCAAACTCAAAAAACAACAAAAAAAAACATTACAATGATCAAAAGCGATCGTTTTCGAAAAAATTATTTATATACAACTTGTTTTGTTCAAAGCTAGCCCCATGCGCCACAAGCATCCTTTTTTAAAAATTTTGATAAAATGGGCTAATTCCATACTTATCTCTGCCACGGTTTGCCAGGAAGTTGGAGAAACATAATTAACGCTAAAAAGCCTTTTTAAAATCTTTAAAAAGACGGGAAAAAAAGACGAGTCTGAGAAGGTAAACTTGACAAGCTGAGCACCAGTGTTCAGTACCAAAATCACGTTTGCTGACTCCAATTGACGACCCCAAATTATTTGCGAGGATTTAAAAAAAATTGTAATTTGTTTACCCACGGAGCACTTGGGAGTTCACGAGAACTCTTTGAAACGTGTCCGTGCGTTCCAGATCGAATTTGGAAGTGCTGGTTTTTGAGGAGAGGGGAAAACCGGAGTACCCGAAACCTCTCGGAGCAAGGGAGAGAACCAACAACAATGGCTTCGACGCCGGGATTTGAACCCGGGCCACACTGGCGGGAGGCGAGTGCTCTCACCACTGCGACACCCTTGCTTCCCTTAAACTAAACTAAAACTAAAGTGATAATCAGCTTCATAGTTCAGTTCGAATTCCTGAAGCGTGTGACTTCTTCAATCTACCTATTTTTTTCATGTGACTTCTTTTTAATCTACCTACCAAGTAACAGAAAAATATAAAGGTCGATATGACCTGCATGAGACTCACACAGGAGCAGGAGTGCATAATTGCTTATTTTATGTTTTTTTCGCGAGCGGGCAAAACGGAGCGAACCCTGATTACTGATTTGTTACCTGAGCGGGCAGGATGGCCCATCTTGCCCGCACAGGTTTTTCGTGTTTCTTCCCGTAAGAAAACTATCTTTTTGGCAAAAGCATAAGTTGCGTCTTTAACTGTGATGACCTCCTTTGCATGCACTTCATAATCATGTGAAACTCATATATTGATCATTTGATAAATCCTTTATCAACCTGGGGCCGGTTGCTCGAAGCCTGGTTAGCGCTAACCATTGGTTAAGAGGTATCAAATTGTATAGGTTTCCATGGTATTTAACGCTGGTTAGCACTAACCATGCTTCGAGCAACCCGGGCCTGGCTTGTTTGGCCAAGATAGCTGAATATTGACCTTGTGCAAATACAAGAACTTGGCCAGTATCAATATGACGAACTTCGAAACCTCTTTATTTGTAGACACATTTGCGACTCGAAAGTCACGGTACTATTGTATATTCTTTTCTTCGTCAGAGAATGAAGTGAGCGCTCGTGTTGTAAGTGGGAATCAACTGACAGCTTCTTCTACAAGAAGTGTACGCAGTTCCTCTTGGCCTTATCGCACAACTTATTACTATCCATCCTATGCACGATTGAGATATACACGGGGGACGGGTGGGTGGATACCCGCAACTAACAATGTGGAATCTGAGTACCTGGAGGTGAGTTTATGTTTCGTTACTTCTTAGTCATTTTTTACCCAACTAGGCGAATCTGAAGAATCTTTTATTTTCAATTGGCTTATATCATGATTATTTTTAACAATTCATTATGAAATTTATCATTAGTTTACATGAGGGACCATCCCTGAGGTGTGGTCATCAACAATGTGGCTTTTGCTGAAATACAGTCTTCGATCTACTTCTAACTCTGTTACTTTTTGAATATATTCAGTCTTTGAAGAAACAAACAAACAAACAAACGAAAAACAACAACAGAATATTTAGCATTTTACCCATTAATTTGCTCCGGTCAAAACGGTACACAAAAGACAAAAAGAGTAGTTTTAGGTCGCCTACCGGTTTTGGAAAATCAGTAGTCTTCACCTTGCTTGTTTCTATTTTACTTAGGAATTTTGTTCTATACTATTAGAAATTTATCGGTGTATATTTTTAACCTTATATCCAGAGAAACTCCTACAGTTTCGCTTGACAATTTACTTGTGTCGTCTACTCTATACTGTTAAGTTCATAAAAAACAAACCTTGTTGAAGTTTATATGCAAACAAACATTGTTGAAATAAATATAGCATGACCTTGCCCCTTTAAAAAGGGTTTTTGCCTTCACAAAAGCAAAGCTTATTACAGTTCACCATCGATAAAAAACAGCTCTATTAGCAAGGGAACTTTCGATACTTATGCGAATGTGTCGATTAGACATGAAAAGGGTGTTCGCATTTAAGGGTGCTTAATTTGAGAAACAATATAAGTAGGTCTTTTCCTAGGGACAAAGAAAACTATTATTAACAATAAGGTTTCCCTCAAAGCGAGGTTCAACTGTGTTCTTTAACCATTGAGAGTTTGATAAGAGTCAAGAGTCAAAGGAATTCTTTTCCAAAACTTTAAGGTGGTTTAATGAATAGAGAGTTTTAGATCGGAGTTTACCGCGAACCTCTAACGCGGTTTGCGGTTACCCGTTTGTGGTTCGACGTTCAAACATAATTCCATTTAGATTGGTGGTGGATTAGAGAAGGGGATTCTCGTTTATTTTTCCATTTAGAAATAGAAGAAATATCAATCAGTGAAAATAAAAGAAATTTACAGTAACACTGGGTTATCTAGCAGCAAAGAACTGTAAATTCTTACATTAGTTCTTCTTGCAAATTTACGGCCGCCATTTTGAATCAGCAGCCATGAATTGCAATTGTTTTCAAGATCCAGTGGGATTTATCAAATTTAGCATTTCGCCCGAATTTGTGCTTCTGTTAATGGATAAAGACTTGCTCCACAAGATTTTTGTATCATTACGTGAGATAAAACAAGAATTATACGCTAAAAGCTTTCAGGTAAATGACCTACGTGAAAACCTACCTCCCCACGTTGAAAACGCACGTCGTAAACCTCAAACGTGACGCGAAAGACTTGTCACGTGACCTCCAGCGGTTAGAGGTTCGCGGTAAACTCGGATCTAAACTTTCTACTATCATAAAGAGAACGTACAACTTTCGAATAAGCAAATTTTATTTAACACGTTCGATGACTCCCTTCCAATACAAATGCTAATTTCAACTCAACGCAAACTTCGTCTGTCGGTTTTACTACAAAAGAAATACTTGTATACTTGCAAGAACATTGTAACGAAACCTAATTTAGAGGAATTTTTACGTAAGCTAAATTTGAACAATATCGCACTGAAAATTGTGGGAAACGATATTGAATATGTGTGTCAACTGACAGGTTTTTTTTTCTTTTTTCTTTTCCAATACTTTTTATTTCTATTGTAATTTGTTTTGTTTCTTACTGACATATTTATCTACTTATTTATTCTTTTACTTTCTGCTGTGTATTAATGTTGTTAATTTGTTGTCAATAATAAATAAAAAATAATAAAAAAAGAATTAAAAAAATAATAATAAGCGGATCTTTTCCCAGGGACAAAGAAAACTGTCATTAACAGTAAGGTTTCCCTCAAAGCGGGGTTCAGCTGTGTTCCTTAACAATTGAGAGTTTGATAAGTGATTGTTCAACTTGTTCGACACGTTTTTGTCTAGGCGAGGCTATCGAGTGCGATTTACATTACCGACGTGGCTACTCAAGGACGTTATGGTGGATCAGAGTTCACCAAGACATACTCATTGAAGTATCTCGACCCTTACATTGCTTCACAGGAGACTTGGAGAGATGTGAAAGTAAGTCAAGGCCAGGGGGGGGGGGGGGCAGACCTACAATCTAGTACACACAGAATTTCGGATCAATTGCTGCTCCTATACCGTAAAATTCCGATTATAAGCCCTGGCCTTACACAACTTCGTGATGGGCGTTTAGGAGGGCTTATAAACCGGGGGGGCCTGTATTCGTGGAGGGGACTAAAAAAGGGTCTCGAAAAAAGCTACGGCAGTGCTGGTCAAAATCAACCTCACCTCCAATGCCACGGAAAAGCGCCCTGGAGACGAGGTTGGATCAAAATTATTTTTGAACAAATCAATTTCACGTCAATACAAGCTAGAGGGGGGCTTATATTCGGAAGGGGGGTTATAACCGGATGTATTTTTTTGTTTGCAGGTAGATGGGCCTATAAATGGGGTGTGCTTATAAGTGGGAGGTGCTTATAATCGGAAGTTTACGGTATCCATAAAAGCAACTATATCCTCTAAATATTATCTGTGGCTTCTCCTAGAAGCTGGTGAAGCGGAGTATTATTGCTCGTTTAAACTGTAGCCTCTTTTACATGAACGGGAGATTTTTAAATTGAGCTCTCGTCAAGCCGACTCAGTTTCTCGTTCAGACGAAAAGCATTACATCAGGAGGCTTTAGAAACAACTGTGTGCAACATCCAGATTACAAAAAAGAAATCAAGGTTTTCAAGGTTGGCCTATCAGTGTGACATTTTTTCTTGAATGGGGGAAGGAGTGGGTCAGTTGCAGTTTAATGTAATGCGCATATAGGGACACAAATAAAACTGCTAAGGGAAGGGGTAATGGACTAATTCGACCATAAGAGAAAGTGCAGTAAAATGCAATGCCTGGCACGTGTTTGCGTCATTGAACTATATTACGACATCGAGTTAAAATATATTAAATTAATATCACTAATCAAAACTGACTTTGATGATGCTAGAACGTTCTACACTTGTTTAAAGCGTTGTCTGTAGTTTAGAAGTAAATGTACCATGATACGTGAATTTTGTGTCTCTTCTTTTCCGTTGCATTGCCGCACAAAAGCTTACGTACACTTCAGTCCTTCTGTATCCTTACAGCCTCTAAAAAGAAATATATCACTCATTTCTCAATGTTGATTGCCTCCCTTTTACACTTTTTCAGGAGAATGGTGAAATTAAAACGTTTATTGGTAACAAGGATGTCAATACAGTAAGGAAGAATTCTCTTCCGTCTGTAATATACACAAGAGCTATTCGCTTTTATCCGAAGTCTTACAACGACAGCATCGCACTCAGAGTGGAGCTATATGGCTATCCTGCAGGTAAAGTATGTTGACTGTAGTTTGAAGAAGATCATCGCAGTTATAGACGCAACTTTTGCAGTTGCGAAAAGGAACTACCATACTGCGATGATCTTAAGTTAATTTGTTGTAGGTTGATAATTGAAGGCCATACAATAGCAGGGACCTGTATAATTCTCCTAAATCGCCCACGTCTTTGCCATTCTCTTTTCGATTGTTGTGTGTACGCCAGGGCGTGTAAGCCGGTGTTGAGTTTTCCCTCATGAGTCTAGGTTGTGTACTTTAGGCAGTTAAAAATTAACTCTTCTCTTCAAAGAGCACAAATAAACAGGACTCCGAGGACTGAACAAAAATCCTAATTATTACATAAGTTGTACTACTACCCTACACTTATAACATTTAAAAAACTTCTCTAGAATACGTCCTCTCACATGATCGTATAGAAAGGCAATCACATCCGGGCGGGTTTTTCGCGTAAATTGAGGAATCGTCTCGTTGTCACTCTGGTGGTGGATGGAAGCAATACATAAGGTTGAAACGTTCCTTACCATATTACTCATGATCCCATGTGTTACGCTCCTGATGTGTTTTATTTCTCCTTTCTGTCAAAACAAATCGAATTAAGGAAGTCATGATCAGGCTTAAAAGACAGAGAATTTTTAAAAATCATTCTTGTTTTAAAAACATCTTGTAGTTTCCAATAGGAAACAGTTTCCAGTTGCCGGCTTCAAGCAAAGTCAGCGGCTGCCTATATTGCATGGTGATCACTTTGTATGTTTAGAATGACAAAAATAAAAAGCAAAACGCAGTAGAGAATCGAAAGAAGAGTTACCATTATTTTCTTTTGTTTGCAGCTCTTCCCAGCCAGCCTGTTTGCAATTATGTACTCCCACAAGGTATGCTTGTCGTAGGTCCATCAGTAGAAAGAGCAGGTTCGGATAATGTAGGACATTTGTTTTGTTTTTGCTTTGTAAACATCTGACACATTGGAAAGACCCCGAGCTTAACCTATCACAAGAGCAGTCGATCATTCAAAGATACAGTAAGAAAACTGTTTAATTAGGTCTTGATCTACTTGGATAAATAATTAATGATGTCGGTTGTCTAAGTGCATTTGAATACCGTTTAAAAAAGGAAAGTTTTAGGCGAAATTTAGCTGACGAAATCTTCGGTCAAAAAAACTTGAATTGAAAGCTTTTAAACCTTTATAACACGAGAAGTCTCCACACTGTTGTCCGAATATTTTCTGTGTTGCTAATGAGGAGAATTGTTCTCAAAAATACTCAAGGCATTTTGTCTTTGATCATTTGCTTTAATTTCATGACCTTTGAGTTTCAGTTTTATCTGATTAAGCACACACGTGGTAAAGAGGAATATGATGTTTGACGCTCACATAATTTACTCCGTTTATATTTTTTATCGATAGATGGTAATCCAGAGCCGGGGGGCCCTGGAACAGTGTATTTTGATGGCTACAAAGGAGGTTTGAGGCATCGAGTGCTGAGTGTTGACAATCAAGGAAGAAGAGCAAGGGTAGGTAGTCCAAGAAAGAAAATGATAGTATTTATCGCTTAATCAAACTTTAGGATAGTGCGTTCGATTCATTTTCTTTCCGTCCAGTCATTTAAAGGTACTCAAACGCCTGCCACGCAGGCTAGACTTGCCAAATTGGTTTAGATTGAAATAAATGCAAACGTACTTTTTTAATCCTCTCAGTTTCCGTATCCTGGCTGTTCACTTTCGCTTTTGTATGACCATGCTTCCGTTCATGTCAACAAGGTTTTTTCGTTCTTGAAAAAAATAAACCTTCTATGTATTTATTGATCAATCTCGAGGGTGTTTGGGAGGTAAAGTTCGAATTGTTGAATGAGAATGTACATGTACTCCCCCCCCCCCCCCCATTCTGTTAATATATCAGCGCGCGTCTTGTTTTTCAGTACAACTTACCTGAAAAGAGAACATTTCTTTGAGTTTTTCTGCGGTAAAGAAGTCTGCATGGAAAGCTTCAGTCTTGACCACAAGCGAAGCGTCGGAAAAAAGCTTGCAGATGTTGTATTTGCATCCTATCAGTATCTTTATTTCAATACCTTGAAACTCGAATCCACGATCGCGTTACCATTCTCGCATCTTTTTCAGATTAACAGTTCTTCAGATGTTGACGTTTTTCGACAAACAGGTAACGTTAAGTAAACATGGTAAAATTTTGCCATTAATATGCTCAATGACAGGTATAGGCAACCAATAGCCAAAGAGAATTGTCCCCTCTCTCATAGACAGTTAAACACTAACTGGACAGAGAAGGGTTGATCTGTACTCCTTCTAGGTCGTTATATTCAGTGGTCCCTATATGTAGTGTTGCTCCTAGTGTATTAGAGTTAAAGGCATTGTTTGGGTCCCTTTTTTTTGTCATGGAGCCACAGTGGCATCCGTCGTTTGGTAGCTGCAAATCATCAATCGCCAGAAATCTACTTTAGCAGACAAAGATTGAGCAGCAAACGTGATTTTTTTCCTCGTTTGCAGGAGCAGCAGCATGGATCCTAAATACGACTATCCACAAACTAGAGAAAATAGAGATATCAGGAGGCGCACAACTCGTGATCGCAGGCTCAGCTAAAACCCTGACCGTTGACAAAATAACGGATGACAATACTGGTAATCTGCACCTTCTTCCCTCCGTGAAGCTCCAGGTGAACAGTCTTCTGTCGCCTTGCGGGCGGATCTTTCACGGCGCTGAACTCATCTTGCCAGGTATGAAGCCCAGTGTTGCTCTGGAACGCAATGTTGATATTTTTGGGACACTTACTATCCTTGGAGCACCGACTGTCTTTATTGGAGCACAGAAGGGCGTGGTAACAATGCATCCGGGTGCAAGTCCTAGTAACCTAGAGTTTGGAGAACTCATTATCGCTTCATCGGGTCATCTTCGTTTGCTTAACTATGACACGCATTCCCTGAGTCGTGTCGTTGGGTTCTATCTATTTCAGGCTCTAGATTCACGCTGAGCAACAATTCTAAGATGGATGTCAATTGCCCATTAAATTTAACTGGTGATCACATGAATATCGGACGTAACGCTGTTCTGAATATTAAAGGTAACAGTTCTGTTTCTTTTGTCTACATGAATAACGTCTTCATCACTGGAACATTTAACCCGGGAATTCTCTCCCTATCATACGGTTGGAAGAGCTTGAGAATTGAAAGATATGGGCACTTGAGATTTTTTCCGCACGGTGATGTGCGACTTGATACATTTTATACAAACGGAAATGTGCAAATAGAAGGAGCCGTGTATATTAGAGGAAGAGACCCAGCTGTCACTAGGACCATTGAAGTTGATCAGTATGGAAAAGTAGAGTTTGATTTAGCACTTAGCTCCAAATCGTCGGTCTTTGTGAAGAGTCATTCACGGGAATACGGCCCTCATGGAAAACATTCTTTAAATGGAACCTCACTTGTTCACGCCGATATTGTTGTAGTCAGTGGCATATGGCTGCCGAAGAAACTACGAATTGAACCAGGTTGGAAGGAACTCACTGTAAAACCAGGGGGCACTTTCCGCTTTGACCCTGTCGGCATTTATAACCTTGACATGTTTCACCTGGCCGGAAATGTCGAGTCCTTGAATTCGCTTGAAATGGCAGGCCTGTCGCAAGAGAGAATACTTCAATGTGGATTCAGTGGTGTTGTACTAATCGAATCAGAAGATCTGACTACAATCCGTTGCCAGTTCGTTGTTATATCAGGAACTCTGCGCATTGGGAATTTGTCAATAGGTTCTCTGTGGGATAGCCTTCATGTAAACGGCAGCAATGGGATGTTCTACTTTGAGACTTCAGAGCAGCTAAACATCAATCACACGAGGGTCAGTGGCTTGATGCAGACGGGGTCAGCAGTCGGTCCCAGTGCTCCTATGACGGGTGAATCAGTTACCATAGAAACTTCTGGAACAATCAGCATCAACTATCAAGGCTATCCCTCAACCATTGTTGACGGAGCGATTAATTCCACTTTCTATGTGACAAACGTTCAGGTCGATGGATTATTTAGACTCGGTTCGCTCTATCTCGTTTCCGACAACTTCCGTGTAGGATCACTGGGGCGAGTGACCGTGAATGGAGGAGGAGCGCTCGGGGGAATGGGACCAGGAGCCGGAACTCCGCACAGCAGTGGAGGCTCTGGGGCTAGCTATGGTGGAAGAGGAGGTCGTGGGGCTTACACGCGTTCCCTGATACAGAGTTATGGTGACATTTTTTCACCAGGCGAGTGGGGAAGCGGCGGTGGTAATGGCAGTGGAAGTACAGGCGGGGGACGCGGTGGAGGACGAATTTTCCTCGACGTTAGCAAAAGACTTCGTGTTGATGGAACCATTCAGATGGATGGACTCTCTGGACAGGTAACTTAGTGCTCTTTTTTCTTTTAGGATACCCGCGCGTTTTAAAAGTATACTGATGAGCTGTTAGAGACTACAAAAGGAAATCTTTGACACCGTTGTTCATACTTCTCCAGTGCATCGGCAGGGAATTTTCAACTGCAGTGAAATCTGCAAACGATTGCCACATCTGCGGTCTCTACCGAGGTTCCTGTACATGTCCGCTCAATAACGCTTCATTTTAACATTTTGGTGCGCAATTTCGTATGTAATTGCTTGGTCGAATTAGGTTTTTTGACTCAACCTTTAAGCATAGCGGTGGTATGACATTTAAAATGAACGAAGTTCAGCGTACACTCATGTGGTAGTGTATGGTAGTGTATAGTGTCCGAGGTTAGTGCCCTGCATCGCAAAAGAGTCGATTTCTAAAAGAGAAATGTTTCATGTCTAATAAGGGAATCAAATAAATCGACGCATGCTTTTAAAGGAAAGATGATACAAATTCTTCAAGTTAATATTTAGTTACAATAATTCAGTGAAGTTTACAAATGTCTGCTGGAGGGAAAAGAAGTTATTAAGTCATGAAAATCATTATTAGGCCATAGCACACTTAAGTCAGTGTTGTAATTTTTCACAGAGTTCGAAGCTTGAATACTAAAATGTTGTACCTCTGTCTCATCCTGTGTATTTTCACGTTAATATCAGACCTATGGTAGCGGAGGTGGTAGTGGAGGTTCCTTGTGGGCAACCTGCCAGCAATTTACTGGAAGAGGAAAAATTCAAGCTAAAGGGGGAAACGGCTACACTAAAGGGGGCGGTGGAGCTGGAGGAAGGATCACAGTCTATTACATCACGGGTGGTTTTCATAGCGACCATGCAGACGCCAGTGGTGGACAAGCGGGATCCGGAAGTAAGCCTGATTTACAAGTTGAACCAGGAGGCCCTGGCGTCATTTATTTGGATGGAAAATCCCCTGAAGTAAAAAATCTACGAATCGACAACAAAGGGCTTCAACCACTACTGGTAAGTTGCAAGTAAATCAGGCCCCATTTGTTCAAAAGTTGGATAGTTCTATTTACCGGGTAAATCGCTATCCGGTGGATAAGTATTAGAAAACCAAGTGCGTTAACCACTGAATAGTGATTTACCTGACCGGTACCACTATCCACCTTTTGAACAACTGAGGCCTGGGTCACTGCGTGTTACGATTCTTAACCTGCTTTTAGAGTCATTTTGAACATTAAGAAGCTCTCAACCAATCAGAGTAGAGTAGGGGTTCGAGCATGACGTTAGATGAGTTCAAGCATTGAGTTAGACAGTTTGAAGAACCTTGGAAATGTGGACTAATGAGCCTCTTTCCAGATAATAAACTGACATATTGGATAATGCGGTTGTTTTGGAACATGGCAGCGAATTTGTCAAGTAAAAAAAATCCAAACGTAGGCTGAGAATGACGCGTTGTGACTCAGTGATAGCCAATCGACGCTTCGGTAGTTGGATTGTGGCCAAATTTTCATTGGTGTTTTGGTACCCCGTGTGCGTCAGTAACTTATACTTACTTAGTTTACAAATGTAGAATGTTTACTTGGGGTGTTGCTGTCACAACCTAATACCCTTTGATTGCTGGCTTTTTTGTATGGCAGTTTGTCATTGCTTAAACTGAGGTTAAAAAATTACATCAAGTTTGAAATTAAGTACGTACAATAGTATCTCTGATATTTGGCGGAAAGAATTTCACACATTCTTACTGTATTTTTTTGTTTCGTTGTTTTATAGACTTCACTTGATGGAAATTACAAGCGTATCATAGATTCAGGTTTGTGTTTATATCCTGGTTTTCCTTAGCGGTGCTACTGGGTAAGTGCAACAAAGCACAAGAATCAAAATTTTTCGTTTCAGTCTTGTACTTGAGCTCGTTACTGCGTTTGAAAGCCTAACGCAGCACGAGCTTATGGTGATCTATCATAACTGGCCAATAAAATCACCAGTGCCAGCTCAATCGTGTAAGAGAGAATAAACTTACTTTTACCTCACCGCCGCGTACGTTCAGTAATATAAAAAAAAACAACGAAATACAAAAATTATCTTTGGGCTTGCATTTATGCTTGTGTCGACAGTCGTTTTCACTTGAAAAAAGACTCTTTTGTAGGTCCAGGCTTAGTTATCGCTGTTCATATTTTGAATTAAAATTACTTAAGTTATTTGCTATGTAAAATAAAAGTTGCATTTCAAATTGAACTATTTTTCCTCCAACAGGAGCTATAGCTTATCTTAACCCTCCTACGGACAATTTCACTTACAATTTTACGCTGATTGAGGTTTATGGAGGAGGTCATCTAGTTTTCCCGCGCGCTGGAACTGAAGTGAGAGTTGATACCATATATGGAGATGACACCGGCCACATACATGTGCCACCAGCCAACACACTTAACATGACGGGAACGTCGGAATACAGACGAATCAACGTCACGTGGGCGCCGTTGGTATACGAAGGTGCAACGTTTGTTTTACCAAACGGAACTGTTGAATTTCGTAGAGCTGAGAACTTGGGTTATCCTGATATAAAACGAAGTTCGTTTCTAAAATTCTGGGGCATCGTGTTAGGTTTTAAAGCTCATCTTATGGTAGGCTATGGTGCAACAATTTCCTTTGAAACGTCTTGTCCACGTAACTTGAACTTTGTTGGAATAACGGTTCAAAAAACCAGTCGACTTATTTTGAACAGCATGGCAGGAAATGAGTCTGATGGCTGGACTGTGGAAATTACAAAAGATCATGGACCGATTTACCGCGACGGCATGGTGACGATAGAGGGTGATGGTTTGTTTGAAGCTCGATCGTTAAAAATCAAATCTCTGTCACTTACTGTTGATCAGCGGGGAAAACTGGCTCTCGATGGGAAAGGATACGAAGCTGGTAAGACTGTAGAAAATAACCATTAGCGTAAGCTTAGAGGGATACTCATTCGGTAAATGAGCCAGTCATTACCTCAATCATTCTTTCGTCTATCTCCTCATTTTATTAAAAATCAATGCTTTCCTTCCCTTTTTTCCATTTAGTTAGTCAATCAAGCAGCTTGTTTGACTAACTCACTGACTGACTGACTGTCAGCTAACTGGTCACTGACTCTTTCTTTTGTTGTGTAACTTAGTCGGCTACCATTTATTCGGCATGTTTGCTTGTCATACACTAGCAATCGTCACATTATTGAACAGTCAGTCAGACAGAGGGGGGAATAAACAGTCGAACAGACAATGTGTTAGCCAGTTAGTCTGGTTAGGCCAAGGCGTTAAACTGCCCAAATGAACTTTATTCACAATAATGTTTCCATTGTAACCAATCACGTGACTACTTATGCCTCAACGTCCGGTTTTGTTCCTTCAGGATTTCTGCACTTTAGGAAAAATTGACTCTACTTAAAAGTTTTGGCAACATTTTTTGTCGTAGGGAAGGTTTCTTCTCAAGTCTAATTGGAATTGAGGTAATTCCAGGCGACATCAAGGTTTTACTGTTATTGCGTGACAAAAGAACTTGCACATTTTTTGTCACGTGACCTGGACATGCATTTCAATTGGTATCGTGTAGAATGTCGAGTCATGAAACCATTCGGAAGTCATTTTGCGTTTTAAGTTGTCACTTGACTCATTTCGGACATGCCCTTGTCAGAGGGTCTGAATGGGGGTACCTCGATAACAGCAAACACTTTATTTTTTGGCTTTGTAACATCAAACAGTTAAATTTTAGGCATTTTAACACTAACAGTAAAAAAATTCTTTAAAACATCAAATTCTTTTCCAGAGAGAAGCCAAACCGGCTACAAAAAGGCCAATACAGTCAACTCCCTTTATAGCGGACACTGTAGGGACCTCGAGTTAGTGTCCTCATTAGCGAGAGTTCGTAATTAGTGGAAGTTTATTTCACTCAAATGTCTGTAATTTGTTTTCGCCGGGGAATTAACTGCTGTCCGTTTTATCGAGGTGTCCGTCATAGCGGGGTGTCCCAAAGGCGAGAGTTTACTGTATTACTTTGTTTTGTCTATCAAGGAGTTTTCGGCCACTTTACGTCAATTTATTAGAAGATTTCCGAAGGCTACCGAAGATTCCCGAAGACTGCCGAAAATTTCTGAAGGCTAACGAAGAGGTCCGACCATTGCCGAAGATGTCCGAAGAACCCCCCCAAACACTTAACAGTAGGTTCTTCGAAACAGCAAACATTAAAAAATTGGCCAATTTAACAGCAAAGACTAAAAATTATGGGCAAATAACACTAAACACCAAACCCCATTCAGACCCTCTTGTCAATTTGAGCAGGAGCCTGGTGAAGTGTAAGGCCTTGGCAACCTTTCATTTCATATCTTTGTTTCATTATCCACCCCCTTCATTTTCACATAGGCCTTAATTGACCCACACCTTAAAACACCTGAGCATGGTCATCTGACCAGTTATTACCCTAATTGAGCACTCAGTCAGTCAGAGAAACATACAGTGTGTAAGTTAGTTGATAAGTAAGAAATTAAGACGTTTTTTGTGTAGTATATATTATTAATCCTTACCTGAATTTAAGGTAACGGTCTCGGAGCGGGCACTGGATCTTCAGACGGTTCAGGAGCGGGATATGGTGGCGCCGGCGGAAGCGGAATGGTTACCGTGACAACAGGTGCACCCTATGGGGATTATACCAATCCTCAAGTCTTCGGAAGTGGCGGTGGACTGGGGAGCAGTGCTGGGTCTGGTGGTGGCGTTCTATCATTAGAGATCACTGATACTTTGGTTGTTGAAGGTACCCTGACATTGTCCATTTATACCGGTTGTTGAAGGTTATAAATTTAGTCTTTCACAGAAACTTTCACTGAGTCTTTTACTGAAAACACTAAAGCAGAGCTTATGTGAAACTAATATTGATTTAAATTCAGTCCGTTCTACTATCAGTTGAAGGCATTTTTGCTAACAAATTGTGAGCAGCGATAAAGAAGTGCAATTTATTATCCAAATAGAACTTCATATTTATAAGGTCGAACTTCTACGTGTGAGTGCTTCTCTTTGGTGACCACCTGCCGAAATTTCGAAATGTTACCCAGACAAAGGATTATAGTTGAAACCTCTCGAAAGCGAGCGCGACCAGCGTGTGTGATCATTGATTGAAATTTTTCGATATTCTTTACCCTCCACAAGTGGCGAATTGGCAGCACTTTCAGTTCTCGTAGGGATGTATAATTGATTAACGCCATACTGCAAAACCCTAATAAGACAATTCATTTTGTTATACATCACGAGCTCTAGCGTCAATGTATGTACGAGGTAACTTAGAGGCACTTCGGTGTTTTTCTTGAGGCAGTCTACTCCTTACCCTTTTTTGTGCTTTGACAAAAGCCTACGATTTAATTTTGCACAGGATCTATTACTGCCAGTGGCAGCTCAGGAGCAGCGTCAAACTCAGGTGGAGGTAGTGGAGGAAGTATTCTCATCCACACGCGCGCTCTGGAAGGTTCTGGAGTCATATCAGTTAATGGAGGAAATGGTAATGCAGCCGGTGGGGGTGGTGGAGGGGGTAGAATGGCTATTTATTGGCAAGACAGGGAGTGGTGGTACGGTGGGCTGAACGCATTTGGTGGCAGGTCTACGCAAGGTGGAAACGGAGGGCCTGGTACGGTTTATCTCGAGGTACGATGTCTTCTACTTAAACAGATTAAGCTGCCAACTGAACTCTGTCTTAAAATAAAAAATGACGAGAACAAAGCAGTATAAAATCTACGATACAACAGAAAAAAAAATCCACAACCATTGTCTACTTCAGTTTCATTTGCTTTCCTTCCTGCAGTTTTCTTTTTATCAGTTTTCCCGGAAGACTGTTGGTAATTTGGTCTATTTAATGGAATGAGAGGTACGGTTATTGAATACTAATCAAAAACCATTTTTGAAGAGAAACGCCCTTTAAGGGATATATTTTAGCCCTTCATTGACACTGTGTATTGTATTAGTGACTGAAGCCTTTGTAAACCATTCCTCACTAAATTGGGTGAATTCGGTTTTGTTCTGGTATATCTTATATGCTCGCCTAATATCTAGTGAGAAAATCCGCATGCACCTTCAAATAGTATTAGACGAGTGACTCAAGTTAAATTCTGTCATCAAAACCTGGATTTTGAATTTTGTCTCAGCTAGTTGTTTTAATAATTATATCATTTTACTTTTTCGTGTTTTTATCGGTATGATTTATTTATGTCGTTAACTAAGAAAGGTACTGCTAAAATCCCTGGTTTAGCAGATAATTATCTTCCGACAAAGGAGAAACCAGTAATCTGTGCGCGTGCGCGTTTTAATCGTTGCTTTTGTCTAACTGAAATTGCTTATCAAGCAGGACACCCAGCATGGCATAAAAAACAGGACCCTCATCTTTGATAATGATAACCTGAGTCCACGATCCATGGAAATCGCAGATTTTTCTTCGCCTGAAACGGACAGCGGTAGGGCGTGGCTGCAGCCCATTGGTCAGGAGTATGAAGTGGAAGAAGTGCATATTTTAAGGAATGCACACTTGGCTTTGCATCCTAACATTACAAGGTCTGTGTTTATTTTGTTTTATCCTGTCGCAGCCACTCGACGAATTTTTGGCGCCTTTATAACATGAATATATCATTAATTTTTGACTACTTAAATGGGTTCGGTTTATTGAAGAATCGTAGAAATTGCATGCCACCTGATTGAATCTGTGATATATGAAATCCGTCGTAGTTATCAAAAAGTTCTAGGAAACAGGCCAAAGAAAGGTGACAAAATCTTTACAGGTCCCAAATTGGAGGCACGGTAACTGGCTCGATTTCATAAGACTTGGTCCAACTTTGAACGCATTTAAGTTCTAAATTTTTAATTTAGTCAGTTTTTCAGTTTAAGAGAGTGTATCATTTCTTTTATTCGTGTTACAAACCATCTTGAGATTGTTATAGTTACCATACCTTATGAGTAGACATTGTTTAGACCTTGATATCCACTTCCGTGTAAAAGGCTCTAAAATATTCAGCCCCTCGTTTTTCGTCCGTTTTTCGTCTATAGTAATTTCTGTTATTTTAAGACCGCAAGTATTGTTCCGCACCTGCCTGCTCTCGATCTGCAGTCAAGCACTCTACCGAGTAAGCTAGACCTTGGGCGGTCGAAGTCTTTTAGCATCAGTGTTGCTTTTAGAAGCTTCCGATGGACGTGGCGACATATTCTTTTTGAATGAATACAGAGTCCTTTTCATTTCTTAGCCTTAAAGCGTGAGATCTCTACAATTTTTCTTAGATCACACCCCTTTGTCTAATAATTATAGTTATTTCTTTATCTTTCTTCTTATTTTTGCTTCATTGTACTTTGTAGACCTCATGGACTGAAAGTTTACAGCTTTGTAGGGGATGGGACGGGTGTTATTCACGTGGGACCAAATCAGATTGTGATAAGTCAGATGGCAGATCATGAGTTGTTTGCTGTAAATGTGTTTGTTCACAAGGATGGTCACTTTCACCTGCCGCCTACATTTTCCTGTTACGGAATCCAAATAACAACAAGGTGAGTCGTTAATATAACAGATGTTTAACCCTTAGTCTCTGGTCACGAAAGAAACAGTTAATTTGTAAATTTCAAGAATCTCTGTTAATTTTCAAGAGGTGCAAAATCCACTCGTAGTCATTTAGTGATTTGTTACACATACAGCAAGACAAATTCATCAGTTAAAGGGACACAGTCAGCTGATGCACATCCGCATTAAAAACCATTTCGTAGCTGATTTGCAGGTCACAGGACACGCGCGTGAAACAGAAAGTGAGAAGCGCATCCAGAATACCCCAAACAAACCTTTTACAGTTGAACTTGTCACGAGCCTAAATCGTGGTTATAGACCCTATGTCATATCAGAGCACTCATTTTTTATATACCATTTATAGCGGAGCTCCCGCGCGCGCGAAGCGCGCGCGCAGCGGAGCACCATGGGTAAGACAATTTGGTAAACCATCCATCCCGGAAAATTTGGTTATGACGTAGCGTACGCCCGTCCGTACACACACTTCATGTAAGCCGATGTCAAATGTCACAATAGATCTTGCACAGCTTGACTAGCCTCTTAGTTATGTAAGCCATCCGTATGAGTACGATTAGATTGACAGCTGTCAAAATGGGACATGTGCAGACCGCTATCAGAAAACTAATAACGAAGGCTCAGGTTCGCTTAGGTACACGATCTGGCATTTTCCACTACATGGCGGACGGAAATGTCCTACTCACACTCGTAGTCTGTTAATTCGAATATTCGCCATTCTAATGAAGGTTAATTGACAGCTGTCAAACTAGAGTATACGCTGACCATCATCACCTGAGTGGATCGCGGGCTCATTTTTCTATCTATTGAGGTCACGTAGTGTTTAAAGTTTTGCGCTGATATTTTATTTGATCACGGGCTCAATTCGAAGCCCCATAGCTTTATAGAAAATCTATCCATCCTAGAAAATTCGGCAATCACGTGACCGTACACCGACCACCCGACCTTCCGTCCGTCCGCACCACAGGCATACCAATGTTTAATCTCACACTTTCTAGCTAGTTTGGGAGCCTGCAACCTGATATTGTACATCCATGTTTTGATTAATTGACAGCTGTCAAAACAGTGTTTCTGCTGACCAGTATCGCCTGACCGTATCGCGGGCTCAGGTATCGACCCTCTGAGTTCGAGTAATATTTTGAAGGTATTCGCTGACAAGTTGCTACTTTTCAAATGATCGCAGGCTCAAGTTCAATTTTTTTAAAATGCATATGAAATAAGTCGTGTTTCATGAGCCGCATTTTTAAAATGTTGATTTCGAACTGATCTCGGACACGAAAATTCAACCGGTTTTTACATTTACATACAGGGAAGGCAATCGCTTTTGACTTTTCTCACTGTCACGCGTTGATCACACTCTACGTCCAATTTTAATGTTCTGATTGGTCAAAATTTGACAGGTGAGTTTATGCGGAAAATTTTTGCAGCGTCTTGAAACTTGCTTACTGATAGCTGGAGCTGAGAGAGTTTTGTGTCATCTTGTGATGTTTTAAACTGTCTTTTTCTACTTGGTGTACAAAATGAAATACAGCTGCTATCAAGATTGTTCTGTAATTCGTGGCTGGTTTGTTTATTGCGCTTTTTGTTGGCAAATGCACCGCTTGTGAAAGTCATGGGAAATCCGACTTCGGATGGCATCGTTTTCAAAAATGAGCTTACTCACTTGCCTTTGCTTGAGGCGTAAGAAGGTTGAAAAGTCTCAAGCGATTCTGGAACACTTGATGACCTTCAGAAGCAGCATCTCGACTGGTAAGCTTGAGCCATTATTGTTTTTGATGTTTTTTTTTTTCGGTTTCCAGAAGTCGAGCGTATGGTTTATGCGGCTTAAGTTAAAACACGAGCAATGATCTAGCTACAATAGTATCAGGTTTAAAAAGCCTTTAGACATTTTTTGACCCGCAAATTCAAAGAAAAGGTTCCGAAGATTATTTAGTTATGATTTTGGCTGTAAACAGAAAGCTCTGAGCGATTTTCTTGCCTCGAGTTCATCTTGAAAAAGAGCGAACACCGGGAAGCCGGCTTAAAACATAAATAAGCTTATGCTTGCCTGACTCATGATTTTCTGAGACACTTTACTCTCAATACTTCTCTTCGTGAATGAAAATTATTGCCTCTGTACATGTTTCACCGAATTAAACTTATTTTATTGATTTTTAGTAGTCCCTCTCGCAATTTTCATCGCTGCACCGGTTGTTTCCAGTCGAACATAAACATCGCATGTAGGAATACTCAAAACGCCGCGCGTAAATATCACTCGCTTTTAAAGATTACACAACAAAATCATACACAGTTTAATGAATAAAGGGAAATAAAACCTAAACATAACAATTTCTCTATCATGTTGAAGCGTAAATGGTAACTCTATTAATCGCACTGCAAATTTGGTGCCTGTTAAAAGTGAGAACCCCTTCCGGCTGGCCGAAAAGTGATTTTGGGAATTTTTTTTTATCGTTTTCATTAAAAGCCCATAATTATTACCCCGCATATCACATAGGACCAGATTTTTCTAACAGAAAACGTTTTATAGATCGTTTTCACTGTCACGCAACAAAAAAATAAATTGAAAACCGTCAAGTGAAAGAAGCCAAGAAAATGATATGTTATAAAAGACTAATATTTAAACAATTTGTCCAAGTCTCAGGTCTTTTTGGCCCACAGTTTCTGAGTTATTTGCCGAAACGTTTCACGCATCTTTGTAGAGCTTTGTATGGAGACGCCATATTGGTGCACAGTTTTGGTGCACCAATATGGCCGCCGAAAATCAACAAAAACATCTGGAGTTCACTTGTTCTATAAAAGCTCCTTCTTTTCGCTCGAGAACTAGCCTACGTGCGCATAAACATATCTTCTAATACTTGAAATGGTTATACTGCTGAAAATCAAGAGGAGAGACTTTTTTCAAGGAGACAGCATTCCTATTTTGGTGTCACGCACTGTGAAAACTCGGAAGTTCAAATTGCTGTATTTTCGAAATGAAACATGCTATGGGACTGAAAACTTGTACAAAGATTAACTTTTTGTTTATCTTCAACCTAGTGTAAATAAGAATTCGTAAAACCGCGCTATTTTGACTTTACAATTTGATGACGTCACTGTGAAAACCATCTATAATTCAATGCTATAATTTGTTGTGCAAAGGAAGCGCGTGCTTTGATCGTCGTGGATATTGAATGAGTGCAAATTCTCTTGCAAAATTGTGAAAAACTGCAGAATTATAAGTTTAAATAGGGCAAAAAGAACAAATTCTGTCTGAGGTCTGTGTACTGTTTACCTGAGACGTGATGAGAAAAAGTATGTTTGAAAGGCTGGTTTACACGCCACCAGATTCGTCGCTAAGATTTACTAGTAAACTAAACTTGTCGAACACAAAAAATCCGGCCTGAGTTTTATTTTGGCCTTTCTTTTAGACAGAGGAATGCAACGTGTAAATTGGCTGCCACCAAGGACTATCGTGGCGCATGTGTTTCTTAAAATTACATTTCGCGGTTGTCCAATTATCCATAGTCTCTCTAACGGAGCAATGTTGGAGAGACTAGTGAATGCCACATTATGATGCTACAGCTAATGCAAATACAATACACGAATAGGTCTATTTGTTTTCCAGGCCTAATCTACAGTGATCGAACATGATTGCTATTTTTCGGTGTAAAAATAACTTGATGTAAAATTTGTTTCACTCTTGGACGGTCGAATTCTGATTTTTCTCTAAAATCACTCAGCCTTTGCCAAAAGCCAAATGAATGTGCCCTGATCTGTGGATTACAAGTTTATTGTTTGATTTAAATTATGAATTTATTAACGGGAGCTTCGCTTTTAGCCCTGGCTAAATCTATATATTATTGAGAATTCACCGATGGATTTGTCCAGGGAAAGCCAAACATCGACGAATACTTCTGAATTCGATCATCAGCAGAGGTGAGAAATGACACGGAGTCTGCATGAATCATTGTCGAAGGTTCAAGGTCTTGAAAGCTTGATTTTCCAAACATATGTAACCTTTTTCATCGATTTTCCAATTATACATATAACGATTATTTGCTTGCCAATGTTATTGCTTCATTTCTTTTGATATTTTTGTAAACAAAAGGCTATTTCTCCCGCCTGGCGCCTACGCGTTTCTCACCTCTTCTCTTCATATTCCTTTGGAGACTGTTTTTAACCAAATATGGTAAAATAATGTCATAGGATGAGTTAAAGTTTTCTCAAAAAGAGGTTTCTGTAAAAGTTCGGGGATCGAATGAAACAATAGGCAAGATTGAAGCGGATTTCTAGATGTATCCGACGCGTACATTTGATTTCGGGTTAAGGTAAACACTTTTCAAACTGGCAAAGGTAGTGACCAGGTCAGCGCGGTCCCATAGTTGACTGTGTCCCTTAAATCAAAAACTGAGGTCATAGATTTTGCGGTATTGACTTCTTGGCTGTTGGCGTGCGCTCATTAGGGAAAATATTCCAGTTATATTTAAATGCTATGTATTGGTGTTATCCTCCGATCAGTCCTAAGGATATACGCACCTATATATCTTAATTGCAGGAGTTCCCCTTCCCGGGAATTTTTGTTTCAAAAGACTGTTGAAATACTAGTCGAGCCTCTTTCGTTTCGTCCCAAAAAGTCAACATCAAGACAACGATAATTTCTTTCTCTTTCATCTAACTTCACCAATGAAAATTCATCTTTTTTATCGACACTCTTAATCCCCACGGAATCAATGAACGCTTTTTATTCAACCAATTTTTCTAAATTTGTTTTTCATGTTACCATGTTTCAACCAATAGTATTGCTCCTCCATTCGGTATATGAACCACATACACCTTATAATCCCTTTATTCTCTCTGACGAAGAGCTAGGGCTCATCGGCTATCTCAACACAGTTGATAAAAACAAATTTTTGTGTTCATCTACTAGGGGCTACATCGGTGTAGAAGACATGACAGTCGCCAGGAACTGTCGGTTATATCTCGGTCTCACAGGTACAACAGAGCTCGCAAATAGCGAAGGAACCTACGGATTCCATTTTCTTACTGTGGCTGACGGAGGAGAAGTGACGTCGACTTCTGAAGTGGTACGAAACTCGTTGACGTTGAACGGCGGCGAAGTCAAAGTTCAAGGAGGTGGAGCCTTGCATATGGTACGCATGCGCATTTTTGCGGGAAACTTTACTGTGGATGACCTGGGGCACGTTAAGGGAGATCCGGTCAATGCGAGGTCAGCTTTATTATATTTCCTATTTGTAAACTTTATTTATGTGTGAAAGGTAATTTGTTTTTGATTCGGTTTTGGTTCACTTGGCTTTGTACCTGAATAAACAATTTGTGCCCTTAGTGTTGTTGCTCCTGAGAAATAACGGAAGAAATCATGACTTGAGCGGTTTACTCGCGCTTTCAGTACTCAGCACCTACTATCTGTTACTTCTTTTTAACCGTGATTGTTTCAGACACTAACAGGATTGTGTCGTTTTATTGCACTATGCACTTTGCCATTGCTATTGTATATCTATCACTTAAGAAAATGAACTGTAAATTCCATTTGAAAAAAGCTCTTGGCAGAACTTACCAAGATGCTGGTTCCTTCGAGTAGATTCCTACCTGTACATAATACAGTACTTGAGTGTAACTTCAGTTCTTCATTTTCTAAAGCAACACTGATTTTGTCTACAGAGAACGTCTTTAATACAAAACGTGTTCTTCAGGGTGAGCTATATTTAGAACGTTATTTGATAGTTTGACTCTCTTCTCTTGCAGGTGCGCCGCTGGTGCAGGTATTGTAAGCTCAGACGGCTCCTCTGGTGCAGGGCATGGCGGGAATGGAGGGCGTGGCAGACACCAATCACGTGTTGGACTAGCTTACGGGCACTTGTATGAACCTGAGCATTTTGGATGCAGAGGAGGTGGATCGGGAGGACTGGGCGGAGGTATAATACGAATGTCGGTAACTGGGACTCTACAAATTGACGGAACAATCAGCTGCAACGGTGGAAGTGGTCAGGAGGATCGCTCTGGAGGAGGAAGTGGGGGTAGTATTTGGATCGACACAAAATTAATTAAGGGATATGGAACAGTTCAGGCAAACGGAGGAGATGGAAATATGGAGTCACGGTATTGAAAGCATTTTTTACTGTCTATGTGATATTCTTCCCCAATAATAAAATATGCAAACTGAATAAGTGAACTTCAGTTCGACGTGCACAATGTGTAAATAAATGACTAGCAATTTGTGTTTTAAAAAATAGGTGGAAACAGTTGAATGTATAATTGTATGATGTTCGAACTCCGAATTTTTCTGATCAGACTTTTACGTCTTTACTAATCAGCTGACACCATTTGCTGTGTTTCAGTTATAATATATTTCATGGCGGCGGAGGAGCAGGAGGGCGAATCGCTGTTTATTTCAAAATTAACAGAACCTACAGCGGGGTGTTTCAATCCTTGGGGGGCGATGCTAAGGGGGATGCCCTCCCTGGAGGCGCCGGTACCGTCTTTCTATACCACCTTATCCATAGACACCGCACGCTACTTGTAAGTAATGACGGAAGGAAAGTGATTCCAGTGGCTCATCGTATTATTAGCGACTATTCCAAACCGGAACTAATAACTGGAAAAACATGGCTTCTGCCAAACTTTGGAGAACACAAATTTTCTGGTGATCAAAATTATCATTTTGAAGAACTCCAGATTTATGGTGGAGCACAGCTAGCTATATTAACGCATCCACATAATTGGTCTGCTTCCATTTTCTTTCGAAATATGATCGGCGATCGCTCAGGTACCGTTCATGTTGGCTACAATCAAACGCTAGATTTGATCCGACCAAGTATTGATTTACCGTTTAATGTTCGAGTGTACCGTGGAGGATTCCTCGGTCTCGCGCCTTCCACCGAAGTTCACGGAGTAGAGATCCACGTGGATGGTGTAATATCGTACATCAAGAACTTAACTCTACACCATGGAGGCCTTTTGTCTTTAAACGAAGATTCGCGTACTGGAAACGAAGCAATTATAAATGATTTCAAGTTTGAATTCATACGCGTACAGTATGAAGGAGTCATTAAAATGATATCATCACCTGTCTCACACAACGGAATGAATTTAACCGTGCGAGTGTTACACATTGAAGGAGGAGGAAAAGTCGAGGGCAGTGATCTAAGGATCCTCGCTGAGAATATTAGCATCAACACAGAAGGCATTCTGACGGTAAGCGGGCACGGGTACAAGCAATCTGACGGGACGGGACAAGGTGTGCATGGGAAGATCAACCGCGGTCTTGGGCCCGGAAATGGGGTCGCAGCTTCTGGTGGAGGACACGGAGGGACCGGAGGGCGCGGAAAGAATACACCTAAAGTTGGAGTACCCTATGGAAACATGTATGAACCTGTGGAGTTTGGAAGCAGTGGCGGCGGTGAATCCGGGAAAGCAGGTAAGCAGTGGTTTGCAAATAACATCAAATTTTTATCGGTTTCATTGTTAATTCCTGGTTTCCATGAATCTATGAAATAATACTACATTGCCAAACCTAGTGTCGAGAAGGAAAAGTACATGGCATTTTTACAAGCTACATAAGAACAACTTTCAAATTAAAACTTTTGAAATGTAATGTATCAGACACAAGAGTTTTCAAAATCAAACACCGGCAGGTGGGTTTAGCAAACGCCTTTTCTAGTCAGAAGTGTCGGGGTATCTCTTGTTTGATTTAGCGCCTCAAATGATTGAAAGAAAAAAATTCTTGGAAAGAATGTTATACACCGGAAACGTAATAAATAGTTGAGGACAATTTTATTACATTTCTGTAAATAAGCAATTGTTCGTGGAAAAGTTATGAACATGTCCTGATTCTAAATCTCCTTCACGGAAGTGATTTCTTTGTCGTCTCTTTAAGTATTACTTATCAATTGTGTGAGATTTCATGGCTTTAGTATATGACTTGAGAATTTAATTTCAAGCAAGATGTCATAATACATTGAAAGGTTAGACACATTGAATTCTGCCAAGCTGGTTGTACTACGTGGAAATGAACTTTGAAAGACATCAACACAACACTGAAAGAACCCAAAACAGAGCGGGATCGTAGCTTGCTATTTTTGTGGCTCGTCGGTACAGCGCAGCGAACAGAGAGGCTGTGCTGTAAAATGCCCACTCACTCTGTTTTAGAGCCCTAACATTGAACTCAAACGCTCACAGAATCACGCCATATCACGTGTTCCCGAGAGGGCAAGAGTCCAAGTGTCACGTTGATGTCTTGAAAGGTTAGTCGTTTTCGATCCCTGGAGAGAGACCCATATTCAGGGTCTTAAAAATAACTGAAGTGCGGAAGGTACTGCCTTTGTCCAGAAAAACGCATTACCTTCGAATTCTACCGTCCATGGCTCGAATAAAGCCATTTCCATCTTCTGAAGAGGACGTGAAAAGAAAGTTGACAGTGAGTAATGTGTATTTAACACATTAAGACCTAATTTTGTCAGTTCTCAACAAGATACTATGATGACAGACATGTTTGTGTGTGGGTTGATCTTTTAGGTGCTGGAGGCGGCGCAGTGTTCTTAAATGTCTCTCACTTGCTGGAAATCGATGGAATCCTGTCAGCAGATGGTGCAGACTCCCTTCCTCGCGGGGGAGGGGGTAGTGGCGGCAGCGTTTGGGTGCATTGCTACATCATCAAAGGCTTTGGTAAAATCACTGCAAATGGTGGTTCTTCTCCAATGGACACTGTTTACCCTTATTATCACGGAGGAGGGGGCTCTGGTGGAAGAATTGGCGTCTACTTTACTAAGAACGACACTTTTTCATATTTCAGGTAACACTGCATTTTGTGATGGCATTTGCATATTCTAAAATAAGAAATCGCATTCAGAATAGCACCCAGTATTCTCGTATTGTCAAAATAAAACGAAAAATAAGCAGAATCAAGTTTGCAGACATAAAACTTTTCTGCTTTAACAATTTTACTCACAAAATCCTTTGGTGTGACCAGTCAAATGAAGTCTTTTCCCCAATACTCGCTTTCGCATGATACTGTTTGTTTCCTAGGATTTGACAAAATGAAATTTAAAAAAAAAACTAGGAATTTGGACTTTGTTCAGTCACTATAAACTATATAAACTAAAGTACTTGTTGATTCAGTCTCTGTGACACTTTGCCCAGCATTTACATCAAATGCTTCTATTTATGAGCCTGCAGTCCAAGTGGAGCCCACAACCCACAACATTAGGCCTTAGTTTACACTTCCTTTGGTTAATGGTATAACAATAAAATATGAATCAAGTTATTGACATTTCTCTTACTGTGGCGAGCAGTCTTTAGGGCTCGGTTCCATCACCACCTAAGGATTACGTGTGAACTTTCTGCCGCCATTTCTTTTGATCCCGAGGATTTTCTTGCACGGCATTACAGATAATTCGGTCAAGGACCGATTAACGAGTATAGAAAGCACAATGAAGGGTGACCGAGAATTCGTTTAGGACAAAAAAATGTTTGCCGAAACTCGCACCCGTGAAACTTGGCCCTGATTCTTAAGATCCTGTTTTGTTGTATTTTTAATTTTTAGTTATCGAGCTCACGGGGGAAAAGCTAAGGCGGGTTTAGAGAATGTAGAGAATGGAGGACCAGGCACCGTATTCCTCTACCACTTAGTTCACACACACCGCACTTTGCTTATTGACAATGATGGCGGTAAACCACTGAATAAACACATCAACTATGCAAAATTGGATGAGGAAGGTATGGATCTCTATCTCTTATTAACTGATTTTCACTCAAAGCTCGTTCCGTCGTTCTGGATCAACCTTTTGTGGTTGCTTGGGCTAGTCGGATGTTTTCTCTACTTTGGTTTATTTGTCAGATCTTGTTTGCCAACATTTTCAACCAACTCGATTGAAACAAATGCACAAAGCTGTCTTAAATGTATCAATTTCTTGCCTAATGGTGGGGTGCCTGTTAGGTATGAAATTAACTTAACATAGTCAAAATAGCTGCGATAACAGCAGCCCTAATAGAACGACTAATGTACGTACTCGAAACCGTAACCAAAATCAACCCAGACTGGTTTTGGTTTAACACTGGATTGATCCTCTATTGTAGTTATAAATATAATATCGTTAACTGGTTGATTGTATCTTGGTGCCTTTCCACGTATTGGAAAAAAAGGTAGCTTAATTCACTATTTTCTCGTCTTTTTTCTAGGTGGCAAGGCATGGGTGATGCCAGAGTCAGGAATCCATCATTTTGCTGATCACACTCACAAGTTTCATTTCGAAGAACTACAAATTTACAATAAAGCTCATCTGGGAATTTGGCCTCGGGCAAACAATGATGGCAGAAACGTTTCCTTGTTCTTCAAGTACATGATCGGTGATAGAAGTGGGATGGTACATATTGGAGATAACCAAGTCGTGGATTTGAAACGGCCTGAGATTGACCTCCCATTCAGTGCTCAAGTTTACCGCGGAGCTTTTCTTGGGCTCGCGACTTTCACGCAGATCCATGGTGTTGAGGTTATAGTGCGAGGAGTATTGGGTTACATTCAGAATTTGACAGTACATCATGGTGGTGATCTGTGGCTTAACCACGGCGGCCGCACTGGTAACCAGAAGACTGAAAATCGGTACGAATTTGATACAGTTCGAGTTCAGGACACAGGTAAAATCCACTGCCTCACGTCCCCGATTAATGACCCAGATCTCGTATTTAAAACTCGCGCTGTTTTTATCGAAGGAGGAGGACTCGTTCGAGGTTCCCGCCTCATATTTGTAACGGAAAATGTCACAATAGACGATGGTGGTTCTTTGATTGCGGATGGCCTGGGCTACAATACATCACACGGTTACCAAGGAAATGGTCTTCATGGACCAATTAATCCCGGCCATGGCTTTGACGGTAATGGAGCATCAGGAGCCGGGCATGGGGGGAGCGGGGGTCGCGGAAGCTTGACAGGAGGAACCCCTAAGACTGGCTTTGCCTACGGAGATATGTATGAACCGTATATATTTGGTAGCGCTGGTGGGAAAGGAAGCAGTAGCCCACGAGGTGGAAGTGGTGGGGGCATGTTATGGATGAACGTAACTGGAGTAATTGACGTGGACGGTTTGGTTTCAGCAAATGGGGAGGATGCGATATCATTGACGGGAAGTGGTGGTGGTAGCGGTGGAAGTATATGGATGTATTGCAAAAGGATTAAAGGTTATGGACGGATTGCTGCCAATGGAGGAGCCGGTTCAACCAACAGTAGATCTCCAGGGGGAGGGGGAGCTGGAGGAAGGATTGCTATTTATTTCGAGGTAAATGAGACTTCAACGTACTTTGTGTACGAGGCACGAGGTGGGGCAGCCCTTGGATGCCAATTTGGTAGAGAAGATTTGTGCAAGGCTGAGGCGGGAGGACCTGGCACCGTGTTTCTATATCACATGATCCACACTCACCGTACATTACTCATCCACAACGGAGGCCAGAAACCGCTGGTTTCAGCAATTGCCGACTACAAAGATTTATCCGAGGATGGATGCCGCGCATGGATCTTACCACAATCTGCAAATCATGACTTCGCAGGAAAGGGACGCGATTTCCACTTTGAAGAACTTCAAATCTACGGAGGTGGTCATGTGGCGCTGCTCACGGAACCTGTCGGTAGGAATGCTTCGTTATTCTTCCGTCACATGATCGGAGATCGCACTGGAACCCTCCATGTTTCTGACAAGCAAGTCATGGATCTCCATCGACCGGAAATAGACATTCCATTCAGCGTCCACGTGTACGCAGGTGGCTATTTAGGTATGGCGCCGTACACAGAGATACACGGCGTCACGCTCTACGTTTCTGGTGCAGTCGATCATATTCAAAACATGACGCTCCATCACGGTGGGGCATTTTGGATGTACCACGGCGGAAGGACTGCAAATCAGGTTAACAGCTCGTTTAAGTTCGACACCGTTCGAGTGCAGGACCAAGGCGTCATTCGCGCCTTCACGTCTCCGACCACTCATCCTGGAATCACAATAATTGCCAGAGCGTTCTTTGTTGAAGGAGGTGGACTGTTCCATGGAACAAGGATGACTGTTCTTGGAGAAAACATTACTATCGACGATGGAGGGCTAATAACTGCTAACGGTCAAGGATACAACAGGTTTATTTGACTGTTTACACTAAAAGTACTAAAAACACTCTTGTGGGTAATTAATTTGTGTTGGAAAAAAGTAGTATTTATGTTATTTGTTATTTATGTTGAGAGATATGTACGTTATCTCCTGAATAACATGTAAAGGTGATAACGCTAACGGTCACAAAGAAAACGTAGATGTACTAAGAAAGCGCGAGTGCAGCAAAGTCGGGAGAACGGTTCAAACATTTTCAATCTTTCACAAACGTCCCAAAACAGTGTCAAGAGCGGGCGCAGCATCGGCTTTCATAAATTGATGTGAAAGTGTTAACACCATTTGATAAGGACTCGACCTTAATGATGGGACAAAACTGAATCTGGGAACAAGACATTTGTAGCTTTTAAGTAACCAAGCACAAATATTTTTAGAGGATGACTTTGGGCGTATGGTGATTTAACAGTGTAAAATTTACTGAAGTGAAAAACACCATGATTTATACTTTTAGGAGACTAAAAAGTGGAGTCAGGTAGTTATAAATGTTGTAAAGCTATCTTTTTAAATGCATTGCCTAGGAGATTTTTAGTTTCACTTAAATATTCGGTCACTATTAGTTCAACAAGAGACGCAAAAAGTACCTTTCACACATATAGATAGCATCCTGGGGCATCTTTCTGTTCCAGTGCTCTTCATGGGCTTTAGCATGTGAATAACGGACAAACAAATCATTGCCAGTGTGTTTTCTTTCAAGATTTCTAGAACTGTATGATAGGTGCTGTTTGTAACTTTCGAGGGTGTTCTAAATCACCTGCTAAACATATTTTCTGTAACAGGAGCCATCCTCATGGATCAGGACTGCATGGCGTTATTAACCCTGGCATCGGTTCCTCTAACATTTATGGCTCTTCCGGAGCCGGTTATGGTGGAAGAGGCGGACGAGGAGCCCACGCCCAAGTGATCGGAGCTGCATACGGACATATCTACGAGCCACTACCATTCGGAAGTTCCGGTGGTGGGCAGAATTCAGGAAGAGGAGGTGGTGTGATCTGGTTCAATGTAACTAATGTCATTCAAATTGATGGCGAGGTGTCAGCTGATGGTTCCCCTGGAGAGGACTCTGTAAGTGGAGGGGGTAGTGGTGGAAGTATTTGGATGCATTGCTATAGGATGAAAGGTGAGCAGCATAGGGCAGACTGTTGTTACTTATTTCTATTCCCGGTACAAACCATCTCAATCACGGTGTAACCACTGGATTCTAAATAATGGGTCATACGGTACTTACGATCTTTTTATTGAGCACTTCAATTAAAAAACCTATGTTTACATCTGCACATGTTGTTGACAACAACAAGTATGTGGTTCTTGCTCAATTGCAACATTAAGAGTTTCCTTTTGTTTCATTTTGTAAATAAGCATATTCGGTTTCTATTTCTCATTATTACTGTAGTGGGCCCCCATCACGTACTCTTTTATATATCGCTACTATTTCAACAGTTGTCCATCAAGCTCACAGCAAAAGGTTTGGGTATTGTTTTGAGACGTTTTAAACTTGACTTCTTCAGCTGTTTTATAATTTAACAATAAATTTACATCTGCTGTCCCTTTTTAAAGGAACTGGAAATATAACTGTCAACGGAGGTGCCGGTGGTAGCAAGTCTGGTGGTGGTGCTGGTGGAAGACTTGCTGTATACTTCTCAGAAAACACCACCTATACTGGGAGCTTTCAGTCCCGAGGAGGTGCCAAGGGCGGGGCATCAAATACTGAAGCAGGCGGTCCTGGAACGGCGTTTCTTTATCACTTGGTCCATACTCACCGAACGTTACTTGTGGATAATGGTGGTCAGCATCCTTTGAAAACAAGAATATCCGATTATTCTGATCTTTCACAAGACGGCTGCCGAGCTTGGATATTGCCTGAGTCAGGAGGCCATCACTTTGCGAACGGCACACATGATTATCACTTCGAGGAGCTGCAAATATATGGAGGGGCCCATCTTGCGATTCTAACTGACCCAATAAATCGTCCAGCATCGCTGTTTTTTCGGTACATGATTGGAGACCGAACAGGGATGATTCATCTTGGCATGAACCAAGTCATGAATTTACATCGCCTGTTTCTTGACATCCCGTTTAGTGCTTATATCTATAATGGTGGTTACCTCGGACTAGCGCCTATATCTGAAATGAACAAAATCGCGGTGTACGTAGAAGGAACACTTGATCACATTCGAAACCTCACTATCTTAAATGGGGGTTCCCTTCACTGCTATCTGACAGGTTCCACAGGAGAAAGAATGAGGCGCTATTACATTTTTAACGAGACCGTAAGAATCATGGCGAGGTCCCAGATTCGAAGCCACAGTCCTAACGCCCATAACGAAGCTTTTAATCTTCAAGCTAGGATCCTTAATGTCGAAGGTGGTGCCGCCATCAACACTTTCAATATGAATATTACCGCTGTCAACCTTACTGTTGATGATGGCGGGGTAATCGATGGAAGCGATGGCGGTTACCTTGCAAAAAAAGGACCAGGTGGTTTACATACCAACAACTGGCGGCGTGGCGGAGCAGGGCATGGCGGGACGGGTGGCAGAGGCAGCTGTGGAGGATATCACACATGTAGAATGAAGAAGGGACTTCCCTACGGGAATTTGTATTATCCGAGGGATTTTGGAAGCGGTGGCGATGGGAATGGTGGAACTGGTGGTGGCGTTTTAACCATCGACGTTTTCGATACACTTCAGGTAAGATTTAACTTGTTGTTATTTGCAAGCTGCCAATCAGAAGCATGCTTTGAGTTCGAATAAAGACGGTTTCAAGTGCCTTGTTCTAGTCCTGCCATAAATGGGAAGCTAGAGAAAGTATAGCTTGCGTCGCAGACACTCTAAACCTTCTGTATATAGCGTCTGCGAATTAGTGCACAATAACGTGTTCAAATCCCGCAGAGTCGCAATGTCGACATTTTGATTGGCAAGTGCGAAACGTGACCTTAGACAGAGGTTTTCCCTGCTTTCTATGTTTAGCGTAGATTTTACAGTGCAAGGAGTTTAACAGAGGAAGTTTAACTAAACAAATCTTATTTTTGCCGCTCTGAGTCTCACATTTAGACGTTTTGAAGCTAGTATGTTCAATGCATTTTAAGTAGATGTTTTTCTGTAGATGTTTCCTGGCAGGATTTGATGACATCTACAGTTTGCCATTTTTAAAATGGTTTTCCTTTTCCTCTGGTTAAACCTTAAGCTTTTTATTGCTGCTAAATAACCTTATATTTCTTAGTTTCCTTGGTTTTCTCAGAAGTGCCTAGACCTGAATAGCTAAATGTGTGTAGTTTTTTTGTCCTTGAATATTATGATTTCCTAATTTGTTTTGATGCTAGCCAGTGTCGGCGAGATTGCAGAATACGCGAGTGCATCTGCAGCGATTGGAAGACTCTGAAAAAACAGTCGGCAACTTAACAAACAAATTCTGGCCTTGAATGAATTCTCTCAAAGCATTTTTTTTCTTCGGGAAGAAGGTTTTCAAGTTCAAACTGCTCTTTCATTGTTTACAGTAAACGCTTTTTGCCAACTTCCTTCTGTTGACATGTCTATGCCCAACAGTACAGTCACGCACGCTCAAATGTGTCCTTGCGACACTGCTGAATATCAGCACGAGCTTTTGTGCACTAATTCGCAGACGAACTATAACAATGGTTTACACGATACGTGGACCGGCTGCAACGCAGCCCATAAAAGTATCGTGAAGTGCTCACACAGAAACTTCTCGTACTTTACGTTGCAGTATTGAGAAGCGTCTCCTCCTCCAGCACTGCAACTGAGCGACAAAAGAGTCCACCGTGACAAATCTTTTCCTTTTACACACCTCAAAACTTCTCATTCCTATTTAGTATCCCCTTAATTTCTTCCCAGGTTGATGGTGTAATTTTGTGCAACAGTCGTCACGTCAACACCATCAGTGGTGGTGGAAGTGGTGGCAGCATCTTGATTCACACCCAGGTCTTTTCTGGCGGGCACACTGGCATAGTACAATCACATGGTGGAAGTGGTGCGGCAGGTTCGGGCGGAGGATCAGGCGGTCGTATAGCTGTTTACTATAGTAATAATGACACACACCATCCTTATAGAGGAAGGTTTGACACCAGTGGCGGGAAAGGTACTTCCGGTGCTGAAGCTGGTGCTGCCGGAACTGTTTATCTCAAACATACCGGAAGTGGATTTACTACGCTCCAAGTGGATAACAATGGACAGAGGTCCCTGGATGACGAGATTCCGAATGGTGGTCGATTGTTAGATCTATCTGGAAGCACTCCAAGCCGATCCCAAACATATGTAGCACCAAATGGCGTGACAGTGACGTCAAGCTGTCCACTGTACACATGCAATCCATGGAATCGCTGCAACAGATGTCAAGACTGGGCTATCGCTCATTTGTTCGACCAAGCGCTGTCCACCAACAGATGCGATTCTTACAGATCGAACTGTCGGTACGCTAAGCTCACGTTCGGCTTTAAAAAGTCCTTGTTTATTAACCACATCAGACTTTACCTATATTGCAGTGGATCTAGGCCTCGGTTTCGCGTAAGTGTATTGCCTTTTGAGAGTTTAATGTCTTGAGTTACGAAGCATGATGGTGAATCTTCCATTATATTATCGGGAAAGTAGAAGAGAGCCATTCGATAGAAGAGTGGCTCTTGGAATTTGTTGGCCGTCTTTATGTGCCACAACATAATTTGATTAAATTTATTTAAGGTTTAGCGAGAAAAGGGATTTATTTTTCTACGTAATAGTCATTTTGCACATTTTACCACATTTTCCTAATTTTGTTACACGTAAAATACGGGCCGGATAACCTTCGGATCGTGGATGGCGGACGAGAAAAAGCGGTTAAAAAATGCCGATGGAAAAACTAAATAAAAGATAATTATGAAAGTCGAAAATTAAAAGAGAGATATTCAAATATTAAATGAAAAAGGCTTCTTCGTTTGGCTTTAAACTGTTTATTAGCATGTTAAATCGTAAAGTTTTTCAACAGAGCAAATTAATTAACGAATCCTTATGATTTCGGATGTCCTAGGTTATAATGACTGAACTTAAAATTTTTTTGCCAAACATCATACGACAGATTCTTTCCTAACTACGTCAAATTAGCCTCAAAGCCCTCAACGTTTGTATTTGCAAGTTTGAAGGTGATCATTGACCATACATGTTACTGCAGAAAATGCTGGTCAAATTGAATCTCAAAATGCTAAGTTGACTCGTGCCAGCCTTACTGAAAGAAATGGGTGATACGATGTCTACCTTATGTGGCGGAAAAAGGAGAAATGTATGTAGCATGAAGAATATGACAGAATATCGTCTATTTTTCTTGATGTGCTGCATATTTGTCCCTTAATTTTCAAAACCAGAGTCCAACACAACAACAACAATGTATTTATTTAAAGAAATATAACATTTACAATACTTTATGACCTGCAAATAGCTATAATGCTAATCTAGGCAGGACAAGACTTTAACTAAGTCCATTGTGTTTTGTTTACTGATAGTTTTATCATGTCCGTCATCTACAAAACATCGAAACCTTGATCTTCAGTGTAAATAATTACGGCTACCTGGGCCCATTAATAAACGGGAATTTCGAGGAACGGGCCCCTGGACAGTTCTAGATCATTTCATGTGATGGTAATCTTAGAAGGACGATCTGGTGTTGTAAGCATGATGTATTCATGATGTATTTCAAAGTGTTTGACCTCTTATGGTTATCCCGGGATGAAAGAAAAAATGCCTTATTACGCAGTTGGACAATGGGCCCCTAAACAGGACACAAATAACGTCTTTAAAATCGAAAGTGGGTGTTTTAGTTCCTAAATGGCCCATCCCAAAATTGATAATCAAACCAGTTAACCATTTTAACATTTGAAAATAAGGAGAAAGTTCTGTTATTTTAATTATTTCGTTTGCAATTTTTATTTTTAACTTGTAATCTATTTTTTCCATCCTCCATCCACATGTATCCCGCCGTCGATAACTCATAGATCAATTATGTATATTACATAATCGCAGCTGATTCGAGTAGACTGTTTAAGTTAAGGTGGCTCTACGATTAAAACCATTATAACGCATGTATTACACATAGTTTATTACACAAGCGTAGGTTAAATTTTGGTATATTATTTTTTTAGCGATCGGAATATATATCACGTTACAATGACGTCACATTAGTTTTAGTTCTAAAGCGAATTTCAGCCGTTATCAGCATTTTCTTTGGAAACGCTTTACGTAACAGAAACCCAAGCTAGCAAAAACGTTTTCTTGATTGAACCCTGAAAAAGACTCTTCTTGTTTAGCTCACTACTTATGACGGCGAACATAATGTGCCTGTAACCAGCAACTACGTTCAAATGTCCAATGGCTGCATCCAGGGCTCGTATGTGGATATGCCTGTGAGGAGAAACGCTGCGAAGGTGTTTGTGGAATTGAATCAGGCTCACGCTAGCAGTGTTTCTGGTTTGACCGAGTTGGAAATATATATTGAAGGAAAGGAAGTGTGGAAAAGGTAAGACTGGGGCCATCGGCAGATAGTTCGGTTTTTGTTGATTAATGTGTCGTGCGAATAATTTGTTCAAGTTTGGTTATAAGAGAGTTTTTATTATCGACGACAAAAAGGCGTAAACAACTGAACCCGGTTTCTTGCGACCAGGAAACCACCTCCTTGAAACACGATCATCGAACTGCTCATTTGTTTCCACGACTGGTTGATTAGTCGAATTTGTTTTTTGAGCAGTAGTCATTTGGTGTACTCCAGTCAATTTTCATTCATTAAGCCATTCATTTATGGAAAGTCAGAATTTGGCCAATAGACAGCAGTTGAATCTATCTCTTTGGGATAAAAAATTATTTAGGAGGTGAATGACACTCTTCAGTTATCTCGGCTACCTTTATTACAAAAGATAGGAGATATTCGAAGCAACATTAGTTTGATTTAACCTTGATGTTTTATTGTTTTATTTGTTCCCTGTGTTACAGATACAAACATAGGAGTTTTGAAGGGGCAAAAACTTGGATGGAGCCAGCGACTGGCACCAATTTTCACAGTTTCAATGAAGTCCACATCCGGGGATCAGCTCAGCTTGCAGTAATGCCGCTGAACGGTCTGCAGGCGCCTGTACGTTTCCATACCGACCGACTGTACGGTGACAGAAGTGGCTTTCTTCATGTTGGATTTAATCAGAACTTCTCCGTCGCTGTCACTGATCCCGACATCCCGTTTGGTCTGCGCGTTTATGAAAATGGAAGTGTGATGTTGCCGAGTCGCGCTTTCTTGCAAACCGTCAGCTTTAAATCGTCTGGAAAGGTATAATCACTTTCAACAGGGATTAAACATCATCCCTGGTTTAATTTCAAGCACTATATAAAGGTTTACAACATAGCTTAGTCTCATAATTGAGGTGTAATCAAAACGATCGACTTCAATCAGCGTTGCTTTCAAAGCAGGACAAAAATATGAGTTCGTTAGAACGCGTATGAAACGCTTTTTGGAACGTGGTTGCGTTTAATAAACATGCGTTCATTGATATTGTTTTTAATTGATTGTTTTGTCTTCGTTGCAGATCTGGGGTGTTCAGGATTTGTTTGTGTTCGACCATGGTTCGTTCTACTCTGATGCGAACTCTAGTCTTGGCAGGGACGAACACCCAGGGCAGTTCTCGCTCCAGTCCCTTCATCTGCAAGACAGAGGAGTGTTCGAGTTACATTCATCTGATAAGGACCTAACCAGTCAATTGTCACTCACTAACTTGACCGTAAGTAAGCTATATATATTATCCATTCTCAGACCACTTAGTTATCTGACTGTCGAATTAATCTGTGAGTCAGGCTTAAAAATCTTAAGCGTGTAAAGGAGCATTTTATCGCCATTTTTGCTATCATTATTACTATTATCTAATCTCTTTTATCTAAGGTATTTTATTTTTTGCTATCATAGCTTAGCTCTTTTTTAAATGATAGATTTTTATTTTATCACATTTCTTATGTAACGGATGTTAGTTCTTAAGTAGTTAAAGTTTTTTTGTTTTACTAATGTTTTTGTATTTTTTTTACTACACGTGCACATTCGTACGAGTTTTTGCTAACTCTTAAGTGTTTACGTGTATAAATAAACTACTTAGCGTACTTTCTTACTTACTTATCACTGACACTAGTTCACTGGTAAGCTATGAAGTTAATCTGGAGAGACCGTGAATGAATCAGTGAATTAAGCAGTTGATTAAACACTCTCAGATCCAAATTAATTTGGAAAAACGTTGTGGGCTTTATAAGACTCGGATCGGATAGGGCTTATAGCACATCCTTTTGGAGTTAAAGTACATTGAGAGACCTAATTACCTTTCCATCAAACGTCACTGCAGATAAGAGTGATAAGAAGTGTGTCAAAATCATCTTTTTTCATCGACCGGTTGTAGAAGGCTTATCTCATGCTGATTACTGACGTTATAATAATATGAGCCGATTGGCTATGGTAAACGTCGGTCAGAAACTTTGCACTTCTTAGACTGCCTCACCTAGTTCATTTCCTTTTTTGCCAGATCTTTAGTGGCGGCCACTTCAAATCCAATAACAAACTGAACATCTCTGTGCTACATCTGCTGAGGATTAACTCTGGAGGAAGACTGAGTCACAATCACGCTGGTTACATCACAAAGGATGGAAGACCTGGAAACGAGTTTGAACCATCTGAAGGCCCCGGTCAAGGTACTGGGAGTTCCTCTGGAGCATCAGGGGCTGGATATGCCGGAACTGGTGGACGAGGGGCTGACGCGACTCGCGTGGGTCAATTTTATGGGGATTACAGAAAACCTTTCGATTATGGTAGTGCTGGAGGTTATGGCTTACATTACGGTAAGAGGAAATCCATTTGGCATATAGTAGATCACGATTCCATTAATCAAAACGCCTGAAAGATACGTATATATATTTTTGTCACGCAATTCCACCTCGTTCAGCCTCTGTGGTCTTTCGTCTGCAAATATATCGCAAATGTCTCATTTTCCACTCCCCTAAGCGCTTTTCAGCACTGGCTGGGGGACGATTTACAGACTGTGTGAGGCACAGTTAACAATGTCTGAAGTATACGTTATGAGTGACCCTTTACTGTGACGGTGAATTTCTTTACGAACAGTGGGTGGATTCTTTTTGGTTAAGCGGGTTAAGCAGATACGGTGTTCTTGTAGAGAGGAGCTCTTTTTTACTTTAAAATCTGTTCAGCTCACCGGTCAGAACTGTTCGAAAATGAACTGGGCCAATTTGTCTATCTTTCTTTAGGCGACCTATATTTTGGAGACTACCGAACACAAACCGTGGGCCCGTACAAAAACCTCATCACACGGGGCGGACTTGGAGGACAAGGAGGCGGGGCAATAAAGATTGTTACGCGCCATTTGATTCTTGACGGACACCTGTCAGCTGATGGTGAAGACGGCCCTCCTCCAAGTACGTCAGGAGGAGGCAGTGGAGGTAGTATTTGGATAGACTGTGAAGAATTGGACGGCTATGGAACAATCAGTGCTAAGGGTGGTGCAGGATCTCCAAACAAGGGAGGAGGGGGGTCAGGTGGCCGGATAGCAATATACCACGCGTTCATGCTCAACTTCAACGGTACCCTGTCTGCCAAGGGAGGGGACAGCGGCGTTGAACCAGGCGCTTCTGGAACTGTATATCTCGAGACCCGAAACGGCAGCAAAGTAGAGTACAGAGTCTTAAAAATCAATAACTACGGATTGGCCTACCCGTGGGCTGTGGACAAATCAGAAGGAAGGCTTCGTCATCTTAACAAAGGAATATACAGTGATACAAAGTACATTGGAGCTGTCACGTGGCTACACGAAGCAAACAGCTATATCTTAGATGAGTTTCATCTACATGGCAAATCTCATATCGCCTTTTATGGAAACGGCTCACGTGAGAATGTCACGTTGTATGCCCAAACATTGCGAGGAGATCGGAGCGGTGTACTTCATATTGGTCGTTATCAATCCGTTGTATTCAAGTTTGTTGATTTGTACTTTCCAATTAACACACTTGTTTATTTTAACGCATCCCTTGAAGTTCCTCGAAGACTGTCTCTTAGAGAAGTGTACATGGAAGTTAACGGAACGCTTGCTGACTTCAACGACTATACCATTGACCGAAACGGGAAGCTTTACCTTTGGTCTGGTGGTAACTCACTTGGAGAGAGTATTGGTCACTTCCGCTTCGTCAACTTGTCAGTTAAGTCGAAAGGTTTGCTTCACACAACGAAACTTCCAAATCATGGTCCAGTGAGTCTGCACATGACGCGATTTGCAATAAACGCCGGTGGGTTAGCCAGTGTTGACGACTTTTATTTGGAATCAGTCAACGCCACAATTGATGTGGCTGGTACGTATGGACTTCTGCTTAACGTTAAGCCAGGTCAAAGGCACCCCCATAGACCCTATAAATAACCTCATTGTTTGAAAAATGAATGCTTTAGTCGTCGTCGCAACTAACACAACTGCAGTGAATTTGAAAACCTTCTTAACATTCGGTCAGATTGCAATATTTAAAAGGATGAAATTAGTATGAAAAAAACCAAATACAAATAAATCAAATTCGAGAAAGCTGAGAAGGAAGAAATTTAATAACTACCCCGCATGTGACTTCACTTCTCAATAAGCGTGGAGAATCTAAAATCTAAAACTAATAACGAACTCAACTTTAAAATGATCGATTCCTTAATGGAATTTTGGTGGATGTGCTTGACTCCGCGTGATTGTAAACAAGTAACCTCTCTACTAAATCAACTATATCAAAAAGTACGCTTAACTGCCGGAATAGTCCTTAGGTTTGCAAGTTAGTTTTCTGCCTAGCTGAGTGATGAATTTCGACGAATTTCTGTTTGACGTTTGATTGCTTGGAAAATTATCGCGAGATTTTTTAGCTAATTCATACAAGATAGATAGATAGATAGATAGATAGTTTATTAATAACGGATTTGCAACTAAAAGTTGAATTATACGATTATTTACAAAAAATTGAATATTGATAATTACATTAAAAGGACTACAAGTGATTTAAAACAACAAATAAGGACACATGTTCTAAAAAAATATAAAGAGGAGGTTTAAAAATCTACTAAAACCGTTCAAGCCTTAACGGCCTTAAAGGTAATAAAACTACTACGAAACCTGTTCGTCTTAAAAGCTGGCTTAAACTTCCGCATATTTCTTAGATTAAAGGTAAATGTGTTGCGAGCAGGAAGAAGTTCATGGAGCCTTTTCTGTTCGTTCTGTAAAACATTCTTAAATAGTTTATCAACTAGTTCCTGGCGGCGGTCTGAAAGTTTAGTTAGGCCTGATTCAACCAAGGCCTCATTGTATGAGCAAAGAGGAAAAATGATGCGGATAGCCCGCTTTTGTACTCCTTCAAGTTCGTTGGAGAGGTACACGGGGAGGCCGTCATGAAAGACAGGACACGCGTACTCTGTGATCGGACGAATACAAGTGCAGAAAAACTGGACTAACTCACGGGTACCAAGACCAGAGCCTTTAAGCTGAGATAAGCTATACAAGCGCTTTTTAGCTTTCTTAATAACGGAGTCAATGTGACAATTCCATTTCAAATCATTGGAGATGTTAAGGCCTAGTATTTTGGCACTAGTAACTAAATCAATAGGCATGCGATTAACAACAAGTAGGTTGTTAGTGTTAAAGTTTATAAGCAGTTCTTTGCATTTCGTCTCGTTTAGTTGAAAACTAAACACAAGGCGTAGTTATGACTGCGATAATATTAGGTTGCAAGCAAATCCAACTAAAGTTTCTTCATTTTTTAACCAGGAAAAGTATCAGCAGACTATAGAGGATACGAACCACAAGGGGGACCTGGGGCTGGTCTTCGGCAGACTTCCTACAACACCGGGGCAGGAGGAGGTGGTCACGGGGGCCGGGGTGGACGGGGATCAGCTGGTCTCCGAGCGTCGTATTCTTACGACTCCATATACGAACCAAACATGTACGGAAGTGGTGGCGGTAACGGTCTGCACAGTGTTGGCGGGCGAGGTGGAGGACGTATCGTATTTGAAATCTTGGAAATGCTGCGACTCGAAGGGCGTCTGCAGGCAAACGGAGAACCGAGAGGTAGTTCTAATCCCAGCGGTGGGGGTGCCGGTGGAAGTATTATTATCCGAACGTTGAATTTTGATGGTGAAGGCTCTGTAACAGTGAACGGTGGTTCATGTTCTTCGAGCGGTAGGCCTTATGGTGGCGGCGGGGCTGGCGGTCGCACTGCTGTTTACTACAATGGGAATTATACGTTCATTGGATCATACCAGAGTGCTGGAGGAGCGAGTCAAGCGGAGCGTGGTGGAGCAGGGTCAGTTTACATTGAAAACAACCGGAACACCAGTCAGCCCTACCGTATTTTTAGAATTGACAACAGAGTTTCGCCTAGTGGACCATCGAGACTTCTTGAAGTTCATGAGCTAGACCTTACGGGAAACTCTGCAGGTAATTTTTGCACTAATATGTTTTTTCGACGAGTCATTTGTTCAGTTGGGGGTTTTCATGCAAAATAGTGGCAGCTGTTGTGAAAAACTCTTATTGGATTTGAACTTAGCTAGTGATTTTGGGAGTTTTTATGAGTTTTCTGGTGGATTTTCCGGGAAAAAAGGATTTTGGCTGGGACTCTTGCACAGATGGAAAGGTGAGAATTTTTTTCTGTGCTCAAGGTCTTTTGAGTTTTACAGAGTCAAACATTTTGTCTTTACTCGCATCACTCCGTCTCAACCCTAAAAGCTCAAAAATCGGTGATTTTATCAGTCGTTTAAAATAATATAGAAAAAATCTGGAAAAGCGGAAGTTGCGTAATTAGAATTCTGATGTAACGAGTTACATCAAAGTTTCTGCATCTTGAAAACTTCATCTATATTTAAGAGTGTTTCGTTCAAAATCCATGTTGATCTCCTCCATCCTAAACCATTCAAATTTTTTATAGTTTATTGTTACCTCTGCTTATTTTCTATTACACCAGGTAGTAAAATGGTGTTTTCTTCCATTTCAAGACAATTTTCCACATTGTAAAATTATTAGTTAAAACGTTATGTCAGACTTTAGAGTAACACCTTAAACTTGTGAACATTATTTTGGAGGTGTTTTCTGCTCGCACATTACTATTTTATCACGCGATGCGTTTGACCAATGGTATATAAAACTCTGAAAGGTTTGAACCCAGGAGTCATTTTAAAAGTAGGTTGAGTTTGATCGTCCGGGTGAACGTAGTCCTGAATAGGACTGTTGTCGTTGACAGTGACTGACGTTTCGACAACCTGTGCGGTAACCATCTTCAGAGTCAAAGTGAGTTGTATCACGTCAGTTGATGGTATTATACTCTGGTTATTGATCTGATTGGTCAGTTACGTCGCGATGTTATTGGTCGTCTCTCAGTTAAGCCGTGATGTTAATTGACTGCGACTCTGCGACATGTGTAACGTATTCTACAGACTACTATCAACGTCTTACTTTAGAAAGCTGGTTTACTAACTTAGAACAAACGCCACTGAATCGTAGCCAACAGTTACCAGCGTCGTACAAACGACTTATTGACGAGATCAAGCAAAACTAACTACGAGAGAACGACTGAAGAACTGACAATTTGACTAACAATAGACGACTGTTTAACTGTGACAACAGACGGATCGAAACGAACCAATTACTGATCACGAGTCTTCATAGTCAATAACATCACGGCTTAACTGACAGACGACCAATAACATCGCGACGTAATTGACCAATCAGATCAGTAACCAGAGTATAATACCATCAACTGACGTGATACAACTCGCTTTGACTCTGAAGATGACTACCGCACAGGTTGTCGAAACGTCAGTCACTGTCAACAACAACAGTCCTATTCAGGACTACGTTCACCCGGACGATCAAACTCAACCTTCAATAACCATGTTTTGTTGCTGGTGGCTAAAAAGTGTTACGTTATATATTGTATCCGTAGGCTATCCATATTATCAAACATTGTACCAAGCTCCAAACGGAGTTATTTTGAGTACCACTGGATCTCCATATTGCAGAAAACCCACAAGAAATCCTAAAAAGTGCGATACAGATAACTCATGGCTGGCTAACTTATTTCTATCGACAACCGATCACTATTACACCACGCATTCCAGTCCAATAATATCGTACCGCTTCCCGTTACCGTTATTCTTGGAATACATGTTGATTTATCCTCACTGTAGCTCCGACCACTGGACTCCGTATTATGTGCGTATTTATTTGGGCAGCAGCGAAGTTACTGGGACAAATGGCTGGGTAGATCCGACCAATTGCCTCCAAGGGCAAGCTAGCAGACTGATTGTAAGACGAAGTGTAGATAAGGTACAGTGTATCAGTTTTGAAATTGGGCACAGTCTCATTAAAGACTCAAAAGAAATGTTCTACGCTCAGAACAAATCTGTGTAAACTAAATGATCTCTTTTACATTTTAAGGTTTCTATCAGTCTTCAGAGAACTAGAACTTACGCTTCTCTTAGCACCGTCAAGTTCTTTGTACGTGAGAATCCATCATCTACGCTGCAAGAACCACATTACACGAGTCCAAGCACCGCCTGGATTGTCAGCCAGTATGAAAAAACCACAGATCATCAATTTAATGAGGTATAAAGCACTAAGTAGACGAGACACTATATTGCAACACTACGAAAATTTCATTAACTCTTCACTTAGTTATTCTCTCGTGGTCTTCTGCCAATTACAGTGTCCCTGTTCTACAGGTTACAGTCATATTTGTCTTCGGTGCCGTTAGATCGTGGTACAGCTAGCAAGTCTTAAATAATTTTAAGGAAATTAAGACAATTATCTGGTCAATCAGTGTTTTGGTCATTCTGAGTAACCACACACTGTTGCGGAGGTGATCTCCTTAAATTTATCTTAAACATCATCGAAGTCGAAAATTTCCATACCGTAACCTATTTTCCGTCTTTTTTTTTTGGCAAGCTATACATTCTTGGTCAAGGCAGCCTGTCATTATCTGGAAAAGATTTCAAGATGAGCGTGGACAAGATTGTGGGCGACAGCAGTGGTATCCTGACATTACGTCCCTCCCAGACTGTTCACATGAGAGGCTCAGAGGGTCACCTTCCTTTCTCGGTCTTATCGCAAAAAGGATCCAATGTGACCTTCCCCACCAGTACGACCTGTCGTAAAGTTGAGATCGTTATGCGAGGCGTGATGGGTCAGATGGCAAATCTCACCGTTGGACCGCAGTGCCGTTTTGTCTTACAAGATTCAACGGAGACGGAATTTGCATTGGATCACGTGGTTGTCCAAACTGATGGTTACATGGCAATGCTCAGAGAGGATAGAACAGATGTTGAAATGATTGGGAAAAAACTCGATATCAGAGGTGGAGCTACGGTTAGTGAGCTGAATTAATCGTATATTGTATAGATTAAGTAGTTAATCCGCCGTTACTTCAATATAATGGTCACTTACTTCTTTGTTTACAGATGGAGGGCAACAGTCTTACTTTAGACTACATAAACGTCACAATCGAACCCTTCGCAACTTTGTCAGCTAACGGCCTTGCGGGTGAACTTCCTGGATCTCGTTACTATGGAGATGGAAGGGGAAGTGTTTCCGGTTCCTCGGGCGCAGGCCATGGCGGTCATGGTGGAATAGGTCATGGTCAGTCCAAAGTTGGTATCTCCTACGGAAAATACCGAAGACCCACCACGTATGGAAGTACTGGTGGAGCAGACGTTTTCCCGTTCACGGGTGGAATAGGAGGAGGGAGATTCAAAATTATCGCTCATGACACCTTGGTGGTTGACGGACAATTGTCTGCCCGTGGGGGAAATGCACGGGCTACCCGAAGTGGAGGAGGCAGTGGTGGAAGTATTCTTGCATACACGTCACGAATCCACGGCGATGGAGAGTTCGATGTTTCTGGTGGCGACGGAGATGGCTCCTATGGGGGTGGAGGTGGGGGAGGTCGTATTTGCTTGTACTATAGAGAGAACCACTTCCTAGGACGATATCTTGGTATGGGTGGCGCAAGTTCATTTGAGCATGGGGGACCAGGGACAGTCTTTCTTGAAAATGTGCCTGGAATGAATGCCACTTATGGCCATGACCGCATTGATGAAGCAGCCCACGCTGAAAGAGTTGTTATTGATGAAGACGTCACTAATGGCACAAAATGGACGCGAAATAGGACGTTGTACGCAAACGCGATGGGACGGATCCCTCGATCGCCAGGAGCTAACCTCAGCGCAAGCTACAGTGATTTCAGTCATGGAGGATCAAGCAGAATGTGGCTTACGCTAGACGATAAGGACCTGGAAAACAATGGAACTGACGTAGAATTGGACGAGTTGCAGCTGTACGGTGGAGCGCAGCTCGCTATTCTTAACCCAGCAAACGCCAAAGCACGCATATCAATCGTTATTGGTCAAATGCAGGGGGACAGGTACGTTCTTTCCGTTTCTAACTCCCAAAATGTATCCCGCTCAGTCTGTGTTATTATATGTCTACTTAAAGTCCATCGAACACCAGAGGTTATCAATTGTACTTGGCCAAATGCCGCGAGATACGCAGTGATAACAATATACTCTTCTTTAGTAGAGACTAACTAGCATACTATCACGAATTCTGTAATCTGATTGACTAACGTACTCACTATTCGGTACGGTTTGGTAGTGAGTAGCGGCGATGCATTTTGAACAATAACAAAACAATGGAAACGTTTTAACACGTCGTTTCTGCGATGTTTCCAGGAATGGCGCAATTAAAGTAAATGAATTCATTATCCTACCTGGAAAATAAACTAAAGAAAACACGAAACACGAAAAAAATATTAATAAAATTGGTAAGTAACAGAGGCTACTTTCATCTAAACGTGGTACAGAATCAAAGATAGTTTGCCTGGGGGTTTACACTAAAACAATTTCGCCACTATTTCTTGTTTTTTAAGAATCAAATACCAACCTTTTTGTGTAATATGGACGAAATCTGATCTCGTTGTTACGGCTTTGAGTTAATTTTCATTTCTAAGGAGTGTACGGCAGACTTAGACTTCTTCTAACTGCGCATGATTTTTATGATATTACATGAACACATATATGCGCAAGTGGTGTATGTCCAAGTGATTTTATTATTTACAACGACACAAGATGGTTTGGTCAAAACCTTTGCAAGAGGTTACTAGAACTGTTTCAAATTAAGAAATGGTAAATTTTGCATCTTTCCCTGCGTATCTTCGTAGCGTAGTAGCTAGAGCATCCAGCAAGTTCTCAGAAAGTCTTGGGTTTTCAAGAAATAGCTTTTCTCGCGTCCTGTCGTATTTGTAACGCGCCTAACCCTAACCCCCGCCCTTTTACTTTTTTATCCAGAACCGGAAGAATTCACCTAGGTTTCAACCAGACGTTCCTGTCCCTGCGGTCGTACCTCCCCATGGATATGATCATTTACCAAGGAGCATTGACCACAATGCAAGGCGAGTTGCTGGTTGCCGGGGTATCAGTTGAGATTGATGGAGTTCTAAAAAGATGTCAGAATATTACTGTGGTCGATGGTGGCGTTATTCGCATGAAGGAAATGTATGACACCGAAGGAAAACCTACCAAGGTATTTGAAAGAACCGTGAAAACGGCAAAAAAAATTGAAATGACGATGCTAGATGTGTAGCTATTTTTATGTTGTGTAGAAATCAGTCAGCCAATTCTTTATTTTAACACGGTAAAAGTCCATGTGGTTGGTACAATATAAGCGAGAACCACTACACCATTTCTATAAATATGTATCTAAGAAGCCTCTTAAAATTACTAATACTACTCCCAATTACTACACTACACTGGACCTGCTTTCTATAAATGCCGGCCTTGTATATAAGTTAAATAAGGCCCGGTTCAGACGCCGAACTTTTCATGAGCCGAACCTAATTCGAATTAAGGCCGACCCAAGTTATTGAGACCGGCTAAAGTGATTCAGACGCCGATCTTAATTCCAGCCGAACTAAATTCAGAAGGCGAAAACTGGGCATTTCGGTCAAACTGCTTACAAAATACGTTATAAGTAAATCTGCATTTGGTTAGGTACATGAAAAGGTCGGCGTCTGAATCAAAGGCGTTCCAAAGTCGATCCAAAGGCAAATTCCCGGCCGGACTAGGCGAAAAGAACGGTTTAATTCAATGTATTAGGCTCGGCTCATGAAAAGTACGACGTCTGAACCGGGCCTAAAATGATCAGGTTTATCAATTGCTTAAAACAGTTAAGTCATCCCACTTGATTGCAAGGAAAGTTGTTCCAGAGAGTTTTACCTTTATGGCTAACGCTCTTTTAAAATGTTTAGTCCTTGGTAAAGGGACATCCCTTAAGTGCCTTTTCAGAGGTAGCCTGACCTACTGCGTTCAGTAAACATAGAGGATAGGTAGTCAAGAGCCAGACCATCAAGAGCTTTGAAGCCCATTATTTCATGCTGAGTAGTCAAATCTTCTAACTCAGTAGTAGTAAAAAGCACCCAGCATCGTTTTTTTCCTGAAAGCGTTTAATTCCCTCACACAATACTACAGTAATCCTTATGGGGTTGTTCCAAGGCATTTAGACGCAATGTAGTATATCTAATGAAAAAAGTTCGTTTTATTGCATCAATGCCAGAGGCAATCTTTTCGTATAGTTTGTCGACATAACAATCCTATGCCATGCTTTAAATAGTCAATTTTGTTTTATTGCTGAAAATATACCCCAACGGGGAGCGCTCTCATAAGTTTTTCTGAGGTCCCATGACATAATCGCCTCTGAACGGCAAAATCCATGACGTCAGAGGGTAACAGTCCTTCCGATCTTCACCTCTCTCTGACTTTTTGTACCGGCACCCAGAAGTGTTTCTTTCTGTGCTATTTGAGAAATCACCTTATGTCGACCGGTCAGTTGGGAAACTATTTTATTTTTTAACTGTCTCCCATTAGAAGCAGTCGTTAACTACATGTATTTAATGTTAGTGAGTTTACGCGACGGGACGGCAGGAAGAATAGAGCGGTAAACATGCGTGTGACAAACGTGACAGGGCTATTACTTGCGGGTTTTGTCTTGATCGTCTCTTAATGTTTTCTGGTCCTGTACAAAAAGATCTGTTTAAAGGAAAGCGAAGTTTGGCGAAAAGTTGTTTCAGACAAAATTATTTTCACGCTTGTCACACAAGATTTTCCGTCTTCTTTCCTCTCCGGTCCTGTTGCTGAAGTTCACTAATGAAGACTTAACACATCTCTGGATGCTGCACATTGATAAGTAGCTAAGAGGCATTCTTGAAGATGATTTCTTCCGCAGATGAAAGAATCTAAAGTAAATTGATGTTGATTTTGTTTCCAGACGTTTTTCTTTGAAACAATTCAAGTGCGAAACAAGGGCATCATGAAAGTAACGAATCAAGAGCGAGTACGTGAATTCCGCGGAACATCCATCCAGGTGTTTGGTGGTGGAACATTCACAGCGGTTAACCTTCATGTACACGTCAAGAATTTTACTATTGATGCTTTAGCTACTGTGTGGGCTACACTGAAGGGAGAGAACTTTGTTTACGACGGTAAGCTTACCATATTAAAGCCATTTTTTCTATTTTAAAAGGAAAAGAAGTGTATTTTTAGAGACTGGAATGGTTGCAACTTTACTCTTGTTCAATATGCAGTGTAACAAAACAACATAACATAACCAGTAGCAGTCTGTCGGTTCTGTAAAACCACATTATGGTCATAGCGCTCAGAGCTATTGTCCCGATGCCCATTAAAGTGTCAGAAGCAGTCGTAGTCAGACCAGGTTTTTTAAATACTCTTTCTTCGTTTGTAACGGTAGCAAACCAGGAAGCCATTTTTCTCGTGAGTTACGCGAGTTTGGCGTCGCTCGGAGGTGAATAGCTCTGGATATCAAGAGTTTGAGCAGCCTATCAGAGCGCGCGAAAAACGCGATCTACTGTTTTAGTATATACTAAGCATCAATATCACAAGCAGAGTAAGGCCAAATGCTTTCAAGGGATACCACGCGGAGTTGATGATCTTGTTTAAGAGCTATGAATTGTTTAATGCTATGCTCAGCACCAAAGCACTAAAATCACCAATAAGAAGGCCACTTTCGGATCATACTAGACAATCTGTTATCACAAGTACGCTTTCTAGGAGTCGAATAAGAATATTTGTAATTTTCCTGACAGGTAAAGGTCCTGGTGCCGACTATCCATCCCCGGGCTTTGCTGGGGGATCTGGAGGGGGTCATGGAGGACTGGGTGGCCGCGCAGTGAGTCAAGTTACTACAGGAGGCGCTTATGGGTCCATTACAGAACCCGATGAGTTTGGTAAGATGTACATAAGCTAACTCTCGACACAACTTAAGTCCCATTAACAGTGACGCTGATCGACGACTCAACTATCCTCTATCACTTGCCTTAGGAACGCGTAAAGGCAGTAGATCGTCCCACATGGGAGGAAGCTGGAAACAATTGGCTGACCCGAACGTAGATATCTTTTCGTACACTTATCACAAGCCCTTTGTTCTCCACACGATCTTTTCACCCGTGGCGTCGAGAAACAGTAGTTTTCAGCTTTCTTAAATAGGCGTTAAGCCACTTCAGAGGATGTTTGGTATACCTTATTTGACTCTCGGCTTAACACAGTAAATTCAACATTCAACAGGTAGCAGTGGTGGAAAGGGAGGGAGTGGACGGCTGGGAGGCCGCGGCGGAGGAATTTTCTTCCTCAACATTAGTGATACTTTGGACATTGAAGGAACTTTGAGCGCAAATGGCGACAAATGCGTTGGATTGTACGCTGGGGGAGGCAGTGGAGGGAGCATTCTCATCAGGACGAACATGCTTGAAGGAAGTGGAACTGTTCAGGTCTGAAATCAATAACTCTTTCACAAGAATGCTTAAATAATATGTTCCAACATTCATAAACACGAAAGTAAAAAGGTAAAAGTTAAAGGTAACAACTCTTACCAGGCATATGGTTATTTTAAGATGCCACTTTGCATGGTGGTAAATGATCATAAAAGCCATGCCAGAAAGAGCCTAAGCTCCTGACAGGTTCTACCAAACCCAACTGATCTAGACCAAAAAACAGACTAAAAACCGTCCCTGATGCTCTCGTTCGAGGGCCAAGCAATGGGTTAATCACCTACGCTTGAAAAGAAAACCGTTACAAAAAACGCGAATAAGATTTTTATTCCCTTTCCAGGTTGGGGGTAGGGCTCCTACAGACCCTGAGTTACCAAAGATTGATAAAAAAAAATAAAGCACTGAGAACGGTCTTGGAAAAAGAGCTGGACTGCTGCTTCATAGCCACCAGGAAGAAGAGCTAAATGGCAACGCGATAAGATGATGACGATAATGATGATAGTGATAATGATTGTAGTTATTTCGGTGCCGTGTGACGTTTTGCATTTGTATGTAGTCTATTGTATATGAAGACAGACCCTTGTGGCAATTAAACGTCTACATGAGACCCTTTGCTGATTGTCCTAGCTCTTCATGCACATGACAAATGTTAAGTTAATTATGTTTAGTCCTTATGATAAATAGTTATAGTCTCGTAAATATTTAAGAATGTTACTGTATTGGAATCTTTGAAAAAACCGTTTGTGGTTAGGAGATGTTAGGAAAAAGGGCAACATCTCGTTAAACTATAAGACAGGTATCTTTGTGACGTAATTAGTGATGCTACTCCCGTGTTATATAATTTATTTGTTTATTTCTTTCAAGGCCAATGGCGGAAATGGATATAGCCATCCGACGAGAGGAGGAGGAGGGGGTTCAGGAGGACGAATCGCCTTGTACTACCGGGGAGGATTTTTTGATGGCGTCCTTGAGGCTGCTGGTGGAAAAGGCAATGTAGAGAATGGTGCAGCAGGAACTGTGTACGTGGAAAAGGCGGGAAACATTTCTGAGCGTGCACACCGAACGCTAAGAGTGGATAATAGTGGTCGACCACCAATGACTGAACGAATTAACCAGGTAACAAGAAAGCAAACACACGGCGAAGGGTCAGCTAAAATCTCCTATTTCGTTGAATTTTTTAACGTTCTTGTCTTGGATAAAAATGCATAAAATCTTACAACATAAATGATAGTAGCTTTGAATGGTGTTAAGCTTTAAGGAATCTTTTTTGCATGGTTCGAGAAGAGTTGTACCATTTTGTTTCGCTGTTAACTAAATAGGCAAAGAAAACTGAATACCTTTAATGTCAAAACGTTTTCATAGTCAACAAGTGGAGTAAATAAATTGAGGTATTGTTTCCATAGGTGGAGGAAGTAAAGCTGTATCCGGGTTCGATTGATAAGGAAGATTCGCAGGTTTACACCAGTATAAGTGGATTTCAATTCTTATCCAACGGAGCCACACAGAACTACCCAAATAACTCCTACTATTCACTATCCCGGATGTGCGATGGAAGCATAACGAACGCTTACATAGTGAAGTCGTCCTATACCAATGTGGTGATAACTGTCACTTTACCAAGAGTCATGTTCATCCATCATATTAGGCTCTATCCGGTATGTAAAACACGTTTCAATCCTTGTCTTTGTTTATTGCTCCATTATTTTTGACACCATAGGTTATAATTAAGTAGCTTACCTAGCGGACCTGGCATGCACACAACAGTTAGATAGCCTCTTTTCCCTCAATTATTTGTTTCTGTGAGGAGCAAATGACTAAAATCCCATCAATCACAAAACATTAAGATAATAGGGAGTTTTGGGAACGACGACGGCGACAGCAACCAGGTCGTCAAAAAAGCAATAGGTTTGTTGAGCAAAACAACAACTCTGCACGTGCATCACGCTTTTTGTATATTTCTTTGCCGTCCCTGCAAGACTACACAATGAAAATGTCTAATTGCAGGTTTTATGGAGGACGTAAACAGGCGATGACGAATTTTTCTTTCTCTTTCTAAACTTGAGTGCGGTTCCCAAGTAATCAACTCCGGGAAATTTACCTACATTTGACATTCTCAGCAAACTGGAATAAACGCGACAAAATTTGAAAAAACTTGAATTCGTTTTAAAAGTGACGTTTTTGCTGCCGTCGCCGTCGTCGATCCTAAAGCTCCCTAATCCCAAAAACGACCAGATCGCGGGGCAAATATATGTGCCCTGCGTAAGGTGCAAGGAAACACATGTACGCAAATCATCAAATAATACGAATGGTTTTGGCTTACACCTGATTCCCTCAAGAAATGGCCCGATATTTCTCTGTCCGTTGAGGAGTTTGGCATTACAAATTGCTGAAAAGTTTATTCAAAATAGCGTATGGAAAAAAAACTGGACTGACAACCGTAGAGTACCCTTTGGGTCCCTAGGCAAATTGTTCTGCCAGAGAAAGTACACCTTTTAAAACTAAACCA